TCTCTCTCTCTCTCTCTCTCTCTCTCTCTCTCTCTCTCTCTCTCTTCCTCCCTTCTGCCCCCCCCCCTTAAAATTTATAGCAAGTGGCTACAGGAACTATTCATATTTTTTAAAATTTCTTTCAGGTTGGGTTACTAGCCTTGAAACCAAGGAGCCAGTTCCCAAGCAGGGCACTTCTATGGAACAGTCCCTGGAGAGACTCTCATGGAATGATTTCTTTGTCTCCAACCTAAGAGAAGCCTGGGAATGTGGTGTTGACTTAGAGAAGCTGTATGTCATTGAGGACAAATATTCTCAGTAAGTCAAGGTCACCCAAAGAAACACTTCTGATAAAGTGGGTGGGTATGAACATAGGGAATATGATAGAAGGGCTGGTCTAGGGCCTGTCCTTTTTCCACAGCAGAGAGTATGTAATGCACAGAGAAGGAGCTTCAGTCTGTATTCCGAACCCAGTCTCTGGAATAGAAGCTGTTCCAAGAAGATCATTTCTCAGTTTAATGAATGTGGGAAAGCCCTTAACAATAGCTCAACCATTATCCTCCCTCAGGCAGTTCACACTGGAGCCAAACCCCAGAAATATAATGAGTGTGAGACCTTTTCCCAGAGTATGCAACTTATTAAACATCTGGGAACCCATCTTGGAGAGAAATCATGTGAACATAAAAACCATGGGAAGGCCTACAACTGCAGCTCATCCCTTATGTCCTATTACAGGATTCACACTAGCACAAAACTATATGAATGCAGTGATTGTGGGAAGGCCTTCACACGCAGTTCATCTCTTACTTCCCATCATAGGATCCATACTGGAGAGAAACCATTTGGATGTGATTGTGGGAAAGCATTTTGCCTAAACAAACAGCTTATTCGACATCAGACAGTTCACACTGGAGAGAAAAAGCCTTATGAATGTAATGCATGTGGGAAGACCTTCCTTCAGAGAACAGAACTTACTTAACATCAGAGTGTTCACACTGGAGAAAAACCACATAAGTGTAATGAATGTGGAAAGGCCTTTACCCGCAGCTCATCCCTTATTTCCCATCAGACAATTCATACTGGAGAGAAACCTTATAAGTGTCATGAATGTGGAAAGGCTTTCCGCTTGAGAAAACAGCTTACTGGACGTCAGAGAATTCATACTGGAGAGAAACCTTATGGATGTGTTGAATGTGGGAAGGCTTTCCGCCTGAGCATTCAGCTTACCCGACATTGGAATATTCATACTGGAAAGAAACCCTACGAATGTCATGAATGTGGGAAGGCCTTCCGCTGGTGCAAACAGCTTACCCGACATCAAAGTATTCATGCCAGAGAAAAGCTGTATGAATATCATGAATTTGAGGAGACTGTCAGCCAGAGAACAGAGCTTGCTCCTCATTGGAGTAGTTTTGCCGGAGAGAAAGCTTATGAAAGTAATGCATGTGGGAAGACCTTTAACCGAAGCTCATCCCTCACTTCCCATCATAGGATTCATAGTGGAGAGAAGCCGTATGAATGTAACGAATGTGGCAAGGCCTTTCGCCTAAGCAAACAGCTGACTGCACATCAGAGAACTCACACTGGAGAGAAACCTTATATATGCAGTGAGTGTGGGAAGTCCTTCACATGCAACTCTTCCCTGATTTCCCATCATAGGATCCATACTGGAGAGAAACCTTATGAATGTCATGAATGTGGGAAGGCCTTCCGTTGGTGCAAACAGCTCACTTGGCATCGGAGTATCCACACTGGAGAGAAACCTTATGAATGTAATGAGTGTGAAAAAGCCTTCCACCAGAGGGCAGAGCTTATTGAACATCAGAATATTCCTACTGGAGAGAAGCCTTTTGCATGTAATGAGTGTGGGAAGGCCTTTAACCACAGCTCTTCCCTTATTTCCCATCACAGGATTCACACTGGAGAGAAGCCATTTGAATGTAGTGAGTGTGGAAAATCCTTTCGCCAGAGTACACAGCTCACTCGACATCAGACAACTCACACTGAAGGGAAACCCTATGAAGCTCCATCCTCCTGAATATCATGAATGTGAGAAGGATATTGGTCAGAGCATAGACTTGACTGAAAAGGAGAGAATTCCAACAGAAGGCAAACCCTAGGGATTAAGCAAGGAGCCTTTTCTTGCTTTGCCACACACTGACTGCTCCTGAGCTCCTTGCATCACCTCTTGGACTCCCACCCTCCCACCCATACACACTTAGTGATGACTGAGAACCCTGAGATTGGACAGAAGCGTGTTCTCGCCAGTTCCTTCAGTACTCAGCATTACCCAGCTTTTCTCAGTTGGGCTAATACCTCCCACCTCCTCCAGCCTGCTCCACCCCTCATCACCTGTTTTCCTTTGGAGTCTTCACAATTGCCTTCACATATGCTAAAGTCTCTCTCATACTTAAAAAAAAAGTACTTCACACTGCCTTGACCCTTTGCACAACCATTACCAGCCCATCTTCTCCTTTCACTGCCAAAGTTCTTGGAAAAACACTGGCCACACCCAATTCTTCCAGCACCTCATCATTCACCATGTCCTTAACACAGAGTCAGAGGGGTACAATGGAAAGGGCCGGGGCTGGAGTTAAAGGATGCTGGTTCGAATCCCATCTTTGGGGATGACTACCAGTCTGATGTTGGCCAAGCCATTCCAACTGGGCCTCAGCGTCTTCTTCTGTAACATGATGACTAGGACTGGAGAAGGTGGCATTGGAAGTCTCTTCCAGCCCTGCAGCCATGATTCTTTGCCCCAGTTCTGTCCCAGCCATCCCTCTGCACAGTCTGAGGCAGCTAGGTGAAGTTGTAGATTAAATGCTGGACCTTAAGTCAGGAAGACTCAAGTTCGAATCCTGTTCCAGACACTTCTTTTGTAACCATGAGCAAGCTCTTTAACCTCTTTCAGTCTCAGTTTCCTCACATGTGACATGGGAACAATAATAGTTTCTACACTAGAGAGTTGTTAGGAGGGTCCAGTGAGATAGCATAGGTTATCAATGTGACCTATTGTGCTGTTATTAGCGCTGAAACTGCCTTCTCAGAAGTCACTAGGGACCTTGTAATTGCCAAATAGACTGACTTGAAAAATTACTTACTCCCTTCTCTCATTTTTACATGAAGTATTTCATGCTCTCCACTCCTCCCTTCTTGGGTATTTTCTCCTGCCTTGTCTTCATAGCACCTTTCCCTCTTGGTTCTGTCCCCCTCTTTCCCTCCCTGACTGGTCTTTCTCTTGTCTTCAGTGTCTCCTTGTCCTGTCTCCACTGCATTAAGGACCCTTGGGGGCCTGCCTTCTGTCCCCAGAGGTTCAGTGTAAGCAGACGATGATTGTGTTAGAGACAGCTCTGGCTTCGCTGTGAGCTCCAGCAGGTCAGCATCACCATAGCGTGCCCGTGGATACCTGACCTTGTCATCCCCGGGATGGGGCAATGCTTGGTTCAAGATTGGCTTAGGTTCGCTTGTTCCTCCATCCTGTGGTTTTCTGTGCATGCGTGCTGTGCCCTCAGTGCCAGACCACCCCTCTAGTGCATGTCCTCTCCAGTCCCTTCTTCCAAACCACTTCTTCATAGAGCTACCTGGTACTTCAGAGCCAATCTGGAGTGCTTCCACACAGGGACCTTCAGGGTCTGCCTATGAGCTACCGAAGGGGCCAGCCTGGGCCAGGGGGAGGAGCAGCTTTCTCTACAATTCTCACTCCTCCCTTCTCTGTCCTTGGTGCCAGATTCCATATTGTTCTCCACGTGCTTTGCAGGTGCCACCTGTCCTCCCAGTTTGGACTGGGTGCAGTGTGCCCTCCTCACCCCTGCCAGCCTCTCAGCCCAGCCCTCTGTCAAACCATTTTTGTTGTTAGCACTTTGCTTGCCATGTCCCCGGTGCTTAACAAATGCTTGTTGCCCCACCAGCTTGGACTGAGGGGGCTGTGTCTACAGTGCCCCATCCCCTCCCCCTTTTCTGCTGTGTGTGCCCAGCCTAATTCCAGACTATTCTTGGGTACTAAATAAACTCTTGTTGACTGGCTGATGCCGTTGGGCCTTCGAAACCAGGATCTCAGGCTGTTGGCTTTTCCTAGGCCAACTCCAATTGTGCACTTGCCCCCTGCATGTCAGGTGTAGACATGTGTAAACAGCTGGCTTTTAATAAATGTGGCCTTAAATGATGATGAGAACATCTCCATATCTGGCACCCAGTAGGCGCTCCATAAATGCTTGTTACTTCCTAAGCGCTTGACTTTGGGAAGGGGTGGTGTAGGGAGGGCTAGTCAGGGCTACTCCTCACTTTGGGGAATCTGCACGCCCCCTCTGGGCCCCCACTTCTCTGCCATCCCTGGCTCTTCTCTGGGCATGCACACCCTTGTGGCCGGGGCCCTGAACTACATTTCCCAGATTGGCCTAAAGATGGGGAAGGAAGTGGGAATGGTGTGACGTCACTTCCGCTTCCGCCTAGCTTCTGTTGCTGCTGATGCTGGCTGTCACTTCCCTGGGCTCCCTCAAGCCTGGCCTAGGTCAGGGGTGGGCACGGGGGCCGGGGCCCTGGCTCTGGCCTTCCTCCCTTCCTCCCTTCCTTCCCTCCTCCCTCTTTTATCCTTTCTTGTCTTCCTCTCTTCTTTTTCTTCTTTCTCCCTTTTCCTCTCCCTTCTTACTTTATCCTCTCCTTCCTCCCTTCTTTTTCCTCTCTTTCCTTCCTCCCTCTTTCCCTTCTTTCTCTCCTCCCTCCCTCCCTTCCTGCCTTCCTCCCTTCCTCTCTTCCTCTTTATCCTTTCTTTCTTTTCTTCCTTTTCTTCCTTTTTCCTCATTTCCTTCTTTCCTCTTTCTTTGTCCTCTTTACTTCTTCCCTTGTTTTTCCTCTTATTTCTTCCTCTTTTTTCCTTCTTTTTCCTTTCTCCCTCTCTCCCTTCCTTTTATCCTTTCTTCCCTTCTTTTTTGTCTTCCTTTTTCTCCCTTTCCTTCCTTCCTCTTTATTTTCTTTCCTCCCTCCTTCCCTTCTTTTTCCTCTTTTTTTTCCTCCTCTCTGTTTTTTTTGCCATCTCTTCTTCCCTCCTCTCTCTCTCCCTCCCTCCATCCCTCCCTTCTTTCACTTCAGAGCCCAGCATGCTACCCTGTCCTCAGAGAAGGGGAGATTCAGTGGGTCCCTATTCTGTGGATATGCAGGAGTGGGTGAAGGTGTGAATGGGAGGTATAGGCAGCCCAAGGGGTCCTCCTAGAGACTGGAGACAGGAGACATTTGGTGGTTGGTTTTGCTTATGGCTGGCCTTCTGCCCCTCCTGGTTCAGACTGTCTGCTACCTGAGGGCAGGGCAAGTTTCACTTTTATCTCCGCCTTCCTTCCGTACTTTCCACAGTCTGGATTTGTGTTGAAGGTGCTGCATGAAATGAAAAAAATGGAGAACAAATGTGCTGTGAGGCTGTGAGAGTGAGCCTGTGCATGTGTAGTACACACACACACACACACACAGACACACACAAGTAGAGGAGAGTGGGAGCCAGTGTGAGGATTCGTGTGTGTCAGTGCATGTATGCCCACAGGTGTGCAAGTCAGTGCACACGTGTTGTGCAGATGCATGTGTGTATGTGTATATGAGGCTGTGTATGAGGATGCTTTCATGTGAGGATGTGCTTGAACCCTGTGCGTGTTTGAGTATACATGTATATGTGTGAGTAGATGGTGGTGTGGGAGCCTGTGTGAGGATGTGTGCATATCAGTACGCCCACATGGTTGCACATGTGAATGTGACCCTTTGTGTCTGAGGACTCATGTACTTGGTCAAACGTGCATGCAAGTATATGTCTTTGTGAGGTTGTGAACCTGTGTGAGGACATGTGCATGTGAGTGTGTGCTCATGTGTGAGCTTGCCAGGGTACCAGTGTGTGCTGAGCCCAGCACGCTGGGAAGTAGAGGATGAGAGGATGGCCCTTTGGTAGGCGGAGGGTGAGTGCAGGTGTGGGCCCCTCTCTTATGCTCTGCTCTCACTTCCTAGGTCTGAGCTTCCTCTACCTATCTGGCCATCCCCAGGAGCAGCGAGCCTGCTGGGAGTAAGCATGGCCCTGGGGTTCCCCACAGCTGGCTCTCTCCAGGTGAGTGGGAGCCTCTGGGGGCTTCTCTGTCCTCCATGGAGGCATGTGCTTTTCCTCTGTCCCCTCTAGCTAGCCCAGGGAACCACCTGAGCTATCGCCTCATCTGCTTCCCTCTGGTCAGCCCCCCTTCTTTTGTCCTCCAGCCTCTCCTGGGTGCTCACTCCTAAATGATCATTGCCACGTGGCATCAAGTGTGAATAGGGCAGTCAGTGAGTGTGGGAGGCTGGACCTAAGTGGGTGGTCCTTGAATGACTTCACAAATGACCACATCAATCAGTCTCTTGGTAGGCTTGAGAGTTGTGCTGGATGAATGTACTTAGATTGAAGAAAATAGACATAAATGGAAGGTATTGCCACTGGGGGCTCACGATTTCTGGGGGGCATTGGAGGGTCCTGTATGTGTGTGAGTGGACAGCTCCCTGGGAGCCCCAAGGTTCTGGACTCTGCAGCTGGCTGTCTTCTGCTGGAGGGATGGCCACATGGGGGAGCAGTTCAGCCGCCTTTAGGAGGGTCGGTTCAGTTCTGGGCACCTTTTGAAAAGGATTTAGACGAAAAAATGTTTGTATGTTCTGGGAATAAATATATAAACATTAAAAAAGAAAAAAAAAGAAGGATTTAGATGAGCTGGAGTTGGTGACTGACTAGGAAGTCTTCTCTGGAGAAGAGACCCTGCCCCAAGCAGGGGGCTCCCACGTTTGGGTTGATATTGTGCCAGAGTTGGTCGGTCAGTTGGTTGAGCAGCAAGCATTTATGAAGGATGGACTACATGGGGTCCTGGGACTCAAGAGCACCTGAAGGGAGGAGGAGCTCCTGTGGCTCATCCAGCTGGGGGGGCCGGTCCTTCGAGGCAGTGATCCAGCAGGAAGACCTGGGCCTTGCTGTAAGAGTGAAGGGATTTTGGTTGGTTGGCTGATGTCCTTTCTCCTGTGATTTCTTACATCACAAGTGGCATGTTTCCTTGAAGGGCTCACTTCCTTCAGTTGCCTGAGCTGCTCTGGAGAGGGTCAATCCAGAACTCACTCTTTATTTTCCCCTTAAATCCTCTCGTCTCCTTACCTTCCCTATTACTGTAGCGGGTACCCCCACGTTCCCAGTCCCTCATGTTCTCAACCTAGGAGTCATCCTGGATTCCTCACTCCCTGTTCCCTCCCCTGCCCAGCCCAATCCAGTATGGTGCCAAGGCACATCCATTTCACCTGGGCAGCACCTCTGGTCCATTTCACCTCCGCAGCATTTCTCAAATAAGCCTGTTCTCTCCTCTGATGCTGTCCCCACCCTGGTGCAGACATGCCCTCATCACCTGACACCTGGACTATTACAATAGCTGCCAGGGGTTTGCTTGCCTAAATACTCTCCTTTCTAGGCTATCCTCTGGCCAGTAAAGTGATGTTCCTAAAGCATAGGAATGACCAGGTCACCCCTTCTGCTCCCCTGATATATTCCAGTAATTCCTGTCACCTACAGGATTAAATATAAAACACTCTATTTTGTGTTCAGAGTGTAGGCATAGGCATAGGCATAGGTTGCATAGGCAGCCTCCTCCCACCTTCCCACCCTCAAGTTACTTATTTTTCCCTTTCGTGTACTGCATGGTCCTGTGACACTGGCCGCCTTCTTGTTCCTTACTATCTCATTTCACTTCCCATCTCCGTAGCTTTGCACTGGCTGTCCTCCTTTCCCCCCACCCCGCCCTCTGCATTCATGGTTTCTATTTCAGCTCTTTCACTGCTTCACCTCCTTCCCTGCTGGCACCTTGCTTACCTCTCCAAGGTTCTGGCCTATAGATGTCTTATGTTCTCTCCCCTGATGGAGCGGAAGACACTGAGGAGGGATTTTCACTTTTGTCTTTGTGTTTGGGAGCCTAGTGCTTAATGATTGCTTGTTGGTTGCTGAATGAGCTTCAGCCTGGAAGAACTAGCTTGAGGAAACACCCAAGCTAAGTTGGCATTTTCTAAAGTGCCTCCACCCCCATTAAACCTGCCTCTACTCCTCCCTCTTCTTTTTTTTCTTTATCCCCCCCCATCCCCTTTTAAGTTTATTTCTTTTTAAAAATAACTGAAAAATGAGTTTAAACTCAGGAAGCCCTTGAACGTGCTTTCTCCAGGCTAAACTTGGCCGGCCAGTTAGAGCTGGAGGCAGCTCACAGCCGGCTAGTCAGACCTCTCTCCCAGAGAGAGCCCGGGGCCCTCCAGCTCAGGCCACTCCAACATTGCGCTAACTGAAGGAAGCTTTCCTAACATCTAGCCTACATTTGTTCACTGCCAAATATATCTAATATTTCTTTGATAAGACGGTCCCTTTAATACTTGAAGGCACACTCATGTCCCCCTGAATCTTCTCATCTGCAGGCTGAACAACCATCGCATGTCTTCATAGGTCATGAACTTGGGGGCTTCACTGTTCATCGGCATCTTTCTCCAAACTGAACATAGGTGTCTCCTCTTTTGAATAAGGGAGTACCAAGGTGAGATAGAGATTCGTTGTTACTCACATCCCACTCTTTGTGGTGCCACTTGGGCTTTTCTTGGCAGAGATACTGGAAGGATTTGCCATTTCCTTCTCCAGCTGAGATAAAGATAGATAAAGCATTTATTAAGGATTAATTGTGCTGGGAATACAAATGCCAACAAGAAGAAAGACAGTTCCTGCCCTTGAGGAGCCTGTATGCTAATGGAGGGGAAGACAGCACAGAAAGCTGAAAGGAGAGAGAGACAGAGAGAGAAAGGGAGAGAGAGAGAGAAAAAGAGAGAGAGACAGAAAGAGAGCTGGAGAGAGCACACCTGTGAGTATGTGAATGAGAGAGAGAGAGAAAGAGAGAGACAGAGAGAGAGAGCTGGAGAGCTCTGAGCATCTGAACAAGAGAGAGAGAAAGAGAGACAGAGAGAGAGAGAGAGAGAGAGCGCGCGCCTGCGAGCATCTGAACAAGAGAAAGAGAGGGACAAAGAGAGAGAGCTGGAGAGAGTGCACCTGTGAGCATGTGAATGAGACACACACACACACGCACACACACACACACAGAGGGAGCTAGAGAGAGCACGCCTGTGAGTATGTGAATGAGAGAGAGAGAGAGAGAGAGAGAGAGAGAGAGAGAGAGCTGGAGAGAGAGCACGCCTGTGAGCATGTGAATGAGAGAGAGAGAGAAAGAGAGAGACACAGAGAGAGAGGGAGCTAGAGAGAGCACGCCTGTGAGCATGTGAATGAGAGAGAGAAAGAGAGAGAGACAGAGCTGCAGAGAGCACACCTGCGAGCATCTGAATGAGAGAAAGAGAGAGAGACAGAGAGAGAGAGAGAGCTGGAGAGAGCACACCTGTGAGCATGTGAATGAGAGAAAGAGAAAGAGAGACACAGAGAGAGAGAGAGAGCTGGAGAGAGCACACCTGTGAGCATGTGAATGAGAGAAAGAGAAAGAGAGACACAGAGAGAGAGAGAGAGCTGGAGAGAGCACGCCTGTGAGCATGTGAATGAGAGAGAGAGTGTGAGCAAAAGCCGCACTGAGTGTTTGTGGTGGGAGGTGCCCTTGGACGCAAATAGAGGCCGGGTTTGGGGCCAGTGGAAGTTCTGGAGAGGAATTTGCCAGTGGGAGGAAGAGGCATCTTCATTATGAGGCCTCTGGGACAAATTGGACAGTCAGGGGCGCTGAGCTGGGCGAGAGCTGTGGGGTCAGACAGAGGTATGATTGCTGTCTAACTTAATCCTAAATTCTGACTCTATGTAATAATCTTTCATCCTGAGCGATGTGATACATGGTGTGTGACCCAGAAAGCATAATAGAAGAGAACAGTTTCTCACAAAGCATGCTGGGATAAGGTCAGGTAGGGCACTAGAGGGGCCCTTCCCGGCCAAAGGTCATTATTAGGATACTTAAGTTATTACAAAGGAAAAATGTACCCTTTAGCACAGCCTTCTGGTGTCATACATCAGACCAAAGAGACCTTTTGGTGGCTTCTTTCTCTGTCCTTTAGTTAATTAGCATCTGTTCAGCGTCTGCAGTGGCTTCATTGGATGAGTAGAAAGTGCTTGGGGGAAAGGAGGTGCGGAAGGAGACACCTGTCAAAGAAGCCTCGGAAAGGGAAAGGCGTACAGTACTGGTAAATGTAGGACAAAATAGAGTCTGGTGTGTTTTCCCTAAAATCTGCTTTCAACAATTCTCCTTTTGGATTTAAAACACAACAGCAACAAACGAGTCGCCGGGCAATCTGAAGATTCACAGTATTGCCAGTCAGTTATTTGTACAGACCGTAAGACATTTAACAAGGAATAATAAAAAGCAAAATAGCCTGAACAAAGCCTCTTAATGAGATGGGAGGAGCGCAGTAATTCCCAGAACTCTATACCCTCTGTAGCTTTTGGAGCCACTGAGTGTTCGGCAAAATTATCCACACTCGGATACAGAAAACCCAGACCTCAAGAGCAGAACCTTAGTGAGACTTGGGGTGCTCCCAGTCACAGATGCAGGAGGAGGAGGTGGACCTGAGTTCAAATCCTGATGTGAATAAATAGGTAAATACAAACAAACAAGATGCTCAGTACCCTGGGCAAGTCACCTAGCCTGTGTGGGCCTCAGTTTCTTCATCGGCAAAATGGGGATCATAATACTGCCTCCTTCCCATGGTTGCTGAGGATGAAATGGGAGAGTGTCTGTAAAATTCTTGGAGTGCTCTTCTTCTCCTCCCCCTCCCCCCTCCTTCCCCTTCCTCCTTCTCCTTCTTCTCCCCCTCCTTTTCTCTCCCCCTGTTCTTCCCCTCCCCTCCTTCCCCCCTTCTCCTCCTCTCCCTCTCCTCCTCTTCCTCCTTCTCCTCCTCCCCCTCCTTTTCCTCCCCCTTGTCCTTCTCCTCCCCTCCCCTCCTTCCCCCTCTCCCTCCTTCTCCTCCCCCTCCTTCCCCTCCCCCTCCTTCTTCCTCCTCCTCCTCCTCATTGTCAGATGAGGAAGATTGGCAAGAGGGACTTTGGGGGATAGCCTAGATTATTTTTGGTAAAGTAGGAGACTGCAGCCTCAGCTGAGATGCCTTCTCGTAGAGAGAGCCCTGACAGGGTCAGGGAGTGAGGTGGCCAGGAGTCTGATCCACTCCCAGCCTTTTCTCACCCTTCTGTTTTCACCACCTTGTGTGGGTCAGACTGTGTTGATGGCGTTTGGAGAGCCCTCCACAGGCCTCGGTCACCTTCCTCTTTCTCTGAGTCAAGCCGTCTTTGTCCGACGTCCTGAGCTGGAGATGCCGCTGGTGCTCCGGCAGACCACTCTGTCTCCATCCGGGCTGGGATTGGGTTTAGTCCTGGGCGCCAGGCTCCCTCTTCTCACACTTGTTAGCTCCACGAGCCCCAGTCCCTGCACAAGGAGGGAAGTACGAAAGGTGTCCCCTTTATGGAGCAGGGAATTTATTCCTGTCCACAAAAGGAAATGCTGAGTGCAGAGGCGCCCATACGCTAGCGCGTCCTGGGTCAGACTGGACAGTCACATGCCCCTCAGTGGTGAGTGTTTTCCATTTCACCCTGACTGGCCCAGTGCCTCCTTGTCTGTCGGCTCACAGGCTGGGCCTGGGCTGGGCCTCGGGTTCTGCGCCCCTTGCTGTCCCTCCCCTCCCCCTGCTACCTTGGACGCTGCCCTTCGGTCCCCAGCTCTAAGAAGAGAGCTTACACCCTGTGCTAGTGAGAAGGGCTCCTGGGCATCCCTCGCTGCAAGTGGCTAGACTACACTCCCTGAGGGCAGAGACTGGCTGGTTTGCTTGTGTTTGCACACAGCAGGCACTTATTAAATGCTTTATCTCTCCAGACATCTTTTCAGCTCTGACCCCCATGTGCTGCGGGACCTCTCGATCTGAAGAGGTTGCCTCCAAGCCTGGACGTGTCCATTTCAGATCAAGAAAGAATAAACCGATGAGCAGCTTGCGTGCTTTAGCGACCACGTATGTGCACTTGCCCACTTACCCTGCTCTGTTCCCAGGAAACCCCTCCCAACATCCTTGCCACAGCTGACTGCTGGAAAAGAAGGGAGAGGTGGTGGGCGGCCAGGGCTGAGTCATCCGGCCCTCCAGCTCAGTAGCACCATCTTCCGGGGGAGCCTTGCGTCCCGAGTCTGCCTGCCCCTGAACATGCTGCACTGACTGGTGCCTCGGGACCAGCCCCTTCTTTACACCCGGCCTTTGGTCCCCTTCTGAGGCCAGGAGAGGGAGTGGGGAGTGAGGCCTTACAGGAGGAGGGAAGAAGAGCCAGGGAGGTTCTGTTGCCTTCCAGAACCTCAGAATGAGCCTCAGAGTGTGGCTGGTGAGTGTCTAGAATCACAGAATCTGAGGGTCAGGCCAATCTCCTGCTGAATTTAGGGTTCTCTTAGGGCCATCTCCAGCTGCTGGCTCTGCCCAAGGCCACACCATTGTCGGGGGCATTCGATGGACCGGGAGGATAGACTTCAGAAGGCCTGGCTCAAAGCATTAGATTGGCGAATCCTAACCCCCTCATTCCCTCTCTGCCATCACTTGGGCCTCCTACCCCTGTCTCCCATGATGACCAAGACTGACCCCTCTGCCTGCTGCTCTGTGTCTGAGAAGGCTGTCTATAACGGACGTTCTATTTCCTTTCTCCCACTCTCCGTAAGCCTTACAATGCGGCTTCCATCCTCATCATTCCACCGACCCGCACTCTCCAGAGCCTGCAGTGATTTCTCTGATGGTCTGTGTGCTCCTGAACACTCTCTTCTCTCTGGCTTTCCAGGCTCTTCCCCTGCTTCTGTCTTGTCTTCTCTGGATCCTTGTGCAGCTCAGGCCTGTTCCCATGGACGTGCCCCAAGGCTCTGTTCCCGGCCTTCTCCCTTCCCTCTTCCCCCTTTCACTCAGCACTCCCGTGCTGTCACCCCACATCTCTCTGCTGTGCATGCATTTCTTTGTCCAGCTCCCACTGCTCTCCAGTGACCGGGGGTGCATTTTGGAGTGGATGTCTCTCTGTCATCTTAAACTCAGTGTCCAAAACTAAATTCATTATTTTGTTGTTCAGTCATTTTCAGTCTTGTCTGACTCTTTGTGACCCCTTTTGGGGTTTTCTTGGCCAGCAGACTGGAGTGGTCTGCCATTTCCTTCTCCAGCTCATTTTACAGATGAGGAAACTGAGGCAAACAGGGTGAAGTGACTTGCCCAGGGTCACACAACTAGTTAGTGTTAAGTATCTGAGGCTGGATTTGAACTCAAGTCCTCCTGACTTCAAGGCCAGAGCTCTATCCACTGCACCATCTAGCTGCCCCCCAAACTCTCTTCCTTCTATGGAGGGCATTCCTGTCCTTGGAGTCATCCTTGAATCATGCCTTGTCCTCATCCCACGTGTGCAAAATGAGTTACCAGGTCTGGTTCATGCCCTCCTCACCCAGCCGCCGTCCATTTCATGCCCTTGTCCCCTCACTGACTCAAGCATCTCACGGCCTCTGTTGCCCAAGTGATTTTTGTACTGAATGGGCGTGACCGTGTCACTCCTGTGTCTGCTACATTCCTGTGGCTCCCTGCTACCACCAGGCTCTGACAGGGACTTCCAGCATGGTTTGTTAGGAGCCCCTTCACAAATTCTGTGGTCCAGCTGAAGCATCAGTCTTCATGTTCCTGTAGTCCATGGAGGCAGTCCTCCATGTCGTAGCTCAGTCCTCGAGTCAGGAAGACTGAAGTTCATCTCTGGCCTCAGACACTCTAGCTGTGTGACCCTTAGTTGTCACTCAGCCTGCCTGCCTCAGTTTCTTCACTGTAAAATGGGGATAACAATAGCATCTACCTCCCAGGGTCGCTGTGAAGATAAAATGAGATGTCTGTTAAATGCTTGGTAAACCTTAAAGTGTTATATAAATGCTCTCTGTTATTGTTGTTATTATTATGTTTGGATAGGAGCCAGAGCTGTAGGTCCTTACATTTGTCCCCATTGAATTTCATCTTCTTAGATTCCTTTGGGAGCCTGACTCTCATCCAGTATGCTAGCAATCCTTCCCAGCTTTTTCTTGTCTGAAAAAACAATGTTTGCTTTTTGTCTTCTAATCCACATCTTTGCTAAAAATGTCTAGTAGCCCAGGGCCGAGCTCAGGTGTCTAGGGCACTTGACTGGAAGCCTGCTACCAAGCTGACTGTAAATCTTTGACAACTCCACTTTAAGTTCAGCCAGTTCTGAATTTACCTGAATTTAACAAAATTCAACCAGTTCTGAATCTACCTAATTATATTACATGAATGAAAAAAGCTTTTATCAAGCACTTACTACATGCAAAGCACTGTGTTAAGCCCTGGGGATACAAACAGAAAAGCAAGATAGTCCCTGTTCTCCCTGAGAGGTGTCATCTGCAAGTCCAATGGCATTGGTCCCTTGGTCCTTTGCCATGCAGTAGCAGAGCAGATGGTCATGCCTCTTCTTTGGCGTTATTTCTCCTGATCAGTCTCTTTCTGTTGTCAGGCCGTTTGCCAGGATCTGGGTGACAAGAACGCTCTCTCCTGGGTCTTCAGTGCTGTGCTTGCTGAGGAGGTAGGTCAGGCCACATCTCTACGGCCTTCTACTCCACATCTTTCCATCTTCTCCATAAAAATCTCATTAAGAGACTATCAGAAGCTTGGCTAAAATGGAGGGAAGCTCTGTCTACAACCTTCCAGCCTCCACCTGCCTGATCCATAGGCATGGGGGCTGGATCTGTGTTCCATTAGGATGAAGAAACTCCCTGCTAATGACAGTTTGTCTTACAGAGCAGAAGTGTCAAACGCAGGCTGAGGTGCTCTCTCAGCTAGATTAAAATGTAATGGGGAAATATTTGGCAAAATAAACAAATACACTACAATATAAATCATGTAAATATGTGATTTTCCAAGGCAACATGCAGCCTGCAGGGATCCTTATGTCTAGGAAAATTGCCCCTATTTCCATGTGAATTTGACACTGCCACTCTGGAGCATGCACAGCCAGTAGGTATCAGAGGCTGAACCTGAATCCAGCTGATTTTGGCTTTGAGGCCAGCTTTATAGTTCTGCCAGGTTACTGCCTCTCATCATGATAGCTGCTGTAATAATAACTAATAATAGCCTTTATGTAGCAATTAAAGTTTGCAAAATACTTTACAAATCTCTCATTCGGTACTTACTGCAGTCTTGGGAGGGAGGTGCTACCATCATCCCCATTTTACAGATGAGGAAAGTGAGGTAAATGGAGGTCACAGAGCTAGTGAGTGTCTGCAGCCAGATTTGAACTCGGGACTTCTGGTGGCGAGGCCCAGTGCACTGTCCACCATGCTACCAGCTCCCTATAGTTGCATAAACCTATCAGAACAGGAAATGAAAAGCCTGAGTTGCCTGTCTGTCCTTTCTAACCTCCAGCCTCTCACACTGTCCTCCCACCTTGGGGCTAAGCTGTCCTGACTGCTCAGGGAGTGAGTGCAAGCTCCCATAGCCCATTCTAGCCAACTACCTCTCCCCCTGCCCTGGGCATGAGTGGTCCTGGCACCTAGCAGGTCGTGGACTGGACTTACTGGGCAAGCCCACTCTATCTAGCCGTACCCTGCTTTGTGGATTCTTCTCTGGATAACACTCCTGCCACCTTGTCATTTATGTCCCCATCGTTCATTCACTGTGCCTGAGATTTCCCAGACCCAGACACCTTTCTTCCATGGCCACCACTCTTGGAAGGCAGGGACAGCCTCAGTTGTATCCCCTGGGCTTAGTGCTGGGCCCGACACCCAGGGCTCTCCTCTTGATTCGTGAGAATGTCAGCAACCATCTCTTGTGTGAATGAGAAGAGTGATGACTCAGACCCCAGTTCTGTTCAGTTATCACGCCAGATCTTGGCCTGGGAGGGCTGACTTTGGGCACAGGAAGCTGCCTGTGCTGTTAGACCCGTTCCATGAGGGGGATGATTTTCAAAAGCTCCTCTGGGCAGGAGACATTGGTCCAGACATGACTGCAGTACAGAAGCAGCAGGTGTCAGTAAGACTTTAAGAACCAAGTCGAGGTAAACTAGTATTTTCCCTGCCTGCCACAGCTGAATGACTTTATCAGAAAAATAAAAGTGGTTGGTTATGGAAAACTGCTCCTTAACCTGGGGTTTCTGAATTTTTGTCTGTTGTTAACATATTGGCCAGCCTGTGTGTTTTGTTTGGAGAAGAGGCCCATGGGCGTCCCCAGGCTGCCACAGGGATCTGTGACCCTTGAGCCTTCAAGGCCTGGCCTGCTCCAGCATTCTGTGGTCATTGCTTCCTTTTCACTCCCCATCTCTTTCATAATAAATTCCCCCAGGAACCCAAGTCAAGTTTCTTGACCTCTCCATAGACGTTGTCTGTAGACTGTTGTCCCTTTTTGAAAAACAGGGCATTTGCCCTGTGTCAGCTTCCTAACAAATGAGAGCTGCCCATCGGTGGCCTAGGCTGCCTGGGGGGGAGTGGAAGCCCCAGCCCTCCCTGCAGGGTCCCTGCCTCTTCAGGCAGTGTCTGCACTGGCACTTACTGGGTACAGTGATCCATTGGGATGCGTTACTGTCAACCTGGATGGAGATGCATTTCTCCACCTTTTCTTTCAAGTCCATCAGATACTTTATCCACATGCTTATGAGCTGAGATCTAGGTCAGGTGGGGAACCTTCGGCCTTAAGGCCACATGTGGCCTCCTAAATCCTTAAGTACCTCCTTCTGACCAAATCCAAATTTTATAGAATGAATCCTTGGGTTCCCTACAGCTGATCTAAGTAAGCTACCAACAGCAGCCCTTGACCTTCTAATGGGTCTGTGAGCTCAAAGATTCAGTGACAGAGAGTAAACCATCCATGCCTGGTGGGGGGCGGAATGTGGGAGGGTGACTAGCCCTCATTCTGAGGGGTCTACCTCTGGGACCTCCATCCTGTGCCTCCAGCCCAGCTTTTGTACGTGTTCCCCTCAAAGGGGGCCACACCCAGCATGCTGGAAGCTTGTGGTGCAGTGGATAGAGCCCTGGGACTGGTGTTGGGAAGACCTGAGTTCAAATGTGGCCTCAGATGCTGAATGGTTTTGGGACCCTGGGCAAGTTTCTTCAGCTCTGTTTGCCTCAGTTTCCTCAGCTGTAAAATGAAAATAACAGCACCCACCTCCTCCGTGTGATATCTGTAAAGCACCTTGCACGTTATTTTCTGACAGAGTAACCCCTCGTCACTTTTCTTCCTGGTCTTTGAAGCTCCTCCATGCTTGTGAATGGATCGCAACCTGCTCATGTTGACTGGTGGCCACACATCTTCAAGGGAAAAAAATCAAGGCATCATCTTGAGGGCTTCCCATGAGCATTTGATGCGTTCTTGTCACTGGGAGCTTGAAACCACAGAATGTTAGAGCAGGAAGGAAGAGACCTGAAGGTTGCCCGGGTTCAACCCCAGATTTTACTGATGAAGAAACTGAGACTGCAAGATGGCAGGAGATGTCTCACCTGTGCTGGCTGAAAACTATGAGTCTGTCCATGGTAGAGTGGCATAAACTCTACATCCTTGGCAGCGAGTGACGAGGGCCTGAACCAAGGTGGTGGTTCTGTGATTGGAAGGAGGTGGAGGGTGCGTATGAATCTTATTGTGTAGGTAGAAAGCAAGAAACGTGGCCAACGATGTGATGTGGGTGGGGTGAATGAAGAGTTGAGGATGTTACAGCTAGTTTTGTAAGCCCAGGGGACCAGGAGGATCAACAGCGGCCTGAACCAATTAAAAAGGAAGTTGGAAAAGGTAATAATGAATTGGAGGTGCTGATGAGACAGGCGATTCAGAGTGACCAATACAGACCTGTATTGTAAAGTGATTTTTACATTATGTGAATTTGTCCCTGGAGGTGGGGAAGGGAGGAAGGAAGGGGACTGAGTAGGATAGAGGGAGTGGCACATGGTTCAAAGAAATGCTGAGGGTGGGGACTGAGAGGAAAGAGCAGCAATTAGGCCCGGACAGACGTGTGCTCTGGTGACAGATGGTGGGGAGTGGGCGTGGGGGGCTGATGTGCTGGTGGGGGCACAGAACAAGGCAAAAGTCTTCTCTCAGTGCCAAGCCCTGATCAGATGGTGGTGGTCTTCTGCTCATCCATTCTTCTTTCACAGGTTTATTGTTTTTAGGTGTCTTTTTTTTGGTTGTTGTTGGGGGTGTGTGAAGGTGGAGCAGTGAGCAGTGGAGAGACAGCACAGTAACATTAACGTAGGTTTGTTTTGGAATTCTTAAGGTAAAGTCCTATTTTCATAATGCAAGAACTGTCTGTAGATGATGGACTGGAACCTATCGGGAGCCGTGGTTAGGGGTTGGATTTATCAATCAGGGAATCATCAGTTTAAGGCAGGAGTCCTCGAGTGCAGCTCTTTGACTGAATCCAAACTTCACAGAACAAATCCCCTTCATAAAAGGATTTGTTCCATAAAACTTGGACAGTCCAAAAACCGCACCCAAGGACCCAGAAGGCCACATGTGGCCTGGAGGCCGAAGGTTCCCCACCCCTGAGGAACTTGAGGGCTACATGTTAGTGGGCATGACATAGATGGAAAGCCAGTGAAGACCAAAAGACCACCAAAACCCAGACAGTTTTCATAGGGTGTCTAGGAGGAGAGGGAGTCTTCTGTTTGAGTTCAAGGTCAGTCATCTTGCCAAGGCCAATATTGGGAGGCCATGGGTGATGGCATCCTAATAAAGCTGCTCCCAGCCCCAGTATTCTAGCTTCCTTATGGGCCACACCAAACAGCATGCCCACTGCCCCTAGAGGCCACTGCCCCCAGACACAGTTCACATATTTGAACAGGTGTGTTCCTGTACTCAACCACAATCCCATTGTCCATTTAGCCCAAGACAGGCCCACAATGCCTAACTATCCATCTTGACCAGACAGGACCACAATAGCTAGCCAATCAGAAGGCAGCATGACCAGATGTTTGAGGGACCCTCGCCTCTATTACTCAATCCCTTAACGAGCCCCTCCTGCCTTTTTAATATTAATCATATTCTTATATTCTGTGGACATTTTGATCGTGTGATCAGCATCACGTACTCCATAAAATTGTCTGTCTTGCCTTCCTGAAGTTGATAGCTCCCCTAAGGAACTCAGCCACTCACCAGAGTGTGAAGCCTCAAAACCACAATAAATCTCTCTGACCAGCCTGGAGTCAGCTTGGAGTTGGCTGACTTTTTTAAATCACAAGCTGACCCTCATCACTGGGGAAGCAGCATTTGTGCAAAAGAACCATGAGGTTTAGTGAGTGAGTGGATAGGCATGTCAGCGTTGCACTGAGCGCAAAGAGACAAGAGACCCAGCCCTTCTTGGAAGCTCCAAGGCACCAGCCATTTCAGACCCGGAAAGCCTGCTCCAACCACATGGGGTGACGACTGAAGGCATTTGCAGGGCTGGGAGCCTGCCACAGCTCAGGGGCCAAGCAGTAGGTTTTTTAATATTGATTACAGCCACGTGCAAAGTATTTCTGTCCAAAGCAGCCAATTTCCCCAGGCAAATACATTTTTCTGTATTTTTTTCAGGTTTGGCAAGCCTAGTCTACCCAGTCCTTTGCAGTAACAGCAGCCCAGAGCCCTGATTCCACAGGAGCATTGACCTTGGGAACATCCCCTCTGGTGCATCTCCTCACTTCTGGGTGAGAGAAGGACTTGGAGCTTTGGGAAATCCTGAGTGTTTCTCTTGGGAAAGGCAGAGAAGCCCCTGCCTAGGCATCAGCAGCCTCCTTTGGTGGGGTTCAGTCTGGCTGTCTTGGCTACTGAACAGCTCCTCCAGCCCAGGAGCCAAGCTCCTGAGTACCAAATGTAGGTCCACGCCATCTTGGAATTGCCTTCAGAATCCCATCTTTTCTTTGGCTTCCTCTTCCATGGGCTTCCAGTTCCCTCTATTAGAGACCTTATGTCCTGGCCAGTTTGCATCCCAAATTGAATCTAAAACATGCTAGGGTTTAGAGTTCCCACGTTTTCTCTCCTGCTGAGAGAGTACTGGGTGGAGTAAGCGAAGGGAGCTTTTGCCCCCTGGCCAGGATCAGTTCTAACTCATCCATTTCTAACCTTCCTCACCATAGCTTCCTCCGCCCTGCCCCCCCACTTGGTCCGGGCCCTCCGCGCTCCTCTGTATCCAGCCCGGGCCTGGCTGGATGGCCGACTGGTGGCTGGGGGGTTTTCACACCGAAGCTGGGGGTGGGGAGCTTCTGTCCTATTCGAGGGGCTTCCAGGTCGGACTGGAGGCACGTATCTAGGAGAGGAGGTAGTGAGCTCCCCGTCCGTAAGGGCGTTGGTAGAGAAGAAGCGACATTGGGGTTGGTCTGGAGGAATTTGGGGCGCTGCCCACAACAGCTGGCCGCCTGGTCTTTAGAAAGGACGTAGTGAACTCCGCATCCCCGTGGGGGCTAAGGGAGAGATGCTGGGGGTGGGGCACCCCGCTTATATCTCCCCCCAGGGGGCGGGGCCGGGGCATACTCTCCGCCACTTCCCCCGCAGCTTCCCTTGGAGGGATCTGCCCCGGAGGTGAGTGCTGGGGGAGGGTCCGAGAGCGCGCATGCGCACTTCCGTCAGCCTACCCTCGCCCACGGGTTTGGGCGGTACTAAGCTCTGAGCTGCCACTTCCGCACTACGTTTCCCAGAACGCCTTGCGTGCTCAGGGCGTGGCCTCCTAGGAATTTATTTCCTGTTCATTTCCGCCTGTCCTCTTCTGGGCTGTTTGGCCTCATTCACTCCCCACCCGAACAATCTGGGAGGAGGCTGCAGGTCAAAGGTCAGAGGTTGTGTGTGGAGGGTCTTGTCCCTGCTCCTGTGCCCATGCTCCTGGACAGAGGGGAAAGCTGAAGCAACGCCACTGGCTATGGCCGACAGGCAGGTGAGCGTGGAGTCCAGGTCAGACCAGGGTGACATGAGCCTGGTGGGGTCGGGAAAGGGAGCCAGGCTGCCTCCGGGCAAAGGCACAGAGGTGGGAGATGCAATGTCTTGTTTGTGGAACAGCCAGGAGTCCAGTGACACTGGATGGAAGAGTCAGCGGATTGCAAAAGCAGGAGCGGGGTAGGTTATGAAAGGCTTTGAATGCCAAACAGCACTTTGTGTTGAATCCCAGAGGTGATAGGGAGCCACTGGAGTTTATTGAGTGTGTGTGTGTGTGTGTGGGTGACATGGTTATACCTTCATTTTAGGAAAACTGCTGTAGTGGCTGAATGAAGGGTAGAGTGGAATGGGGAGAGATTTGAGGCAGGCAGACTCCCCCCCTGCAGCTGTTGCCATAGTCCGAGTGTAAGGTGATGAGGGCCTGTTGGGGCCATGTTGGAAGAGAGAAAGGGGCATATTGGGAAGATGCTGCAGAGGTGACATCGACCAGAAATGCTGCAGAGAGGTGCAAAGATGTACCAGATTGAAATGGACCAGAGGTGCTGGAGAGGTGAAATGGACCAGAGGTGCTGGAGAGGTGAAATGGACCAGAGGTGCTGGAGAGGTGAAATGGACCAGAGGTGCTGGAGAGGTGAAATGGACCAGAGTGTGAGAGGTAAATGGACCAGAGTGCTGCAGAGGTGAAATGGAGCAGAGGTGCAGAGTGAAATGAGCAGGCGCTGCAGAGTAAATGACCAATGACAGAGTGAAATGACCACTGACAGAGGTGAAATGGACCAGAGGTGCTGCAGAGATGAAGTCAACCAGAGATGCTGTTACAAACTGGATGTGGGGGTAAGAGATAGTGAGGAGTCCAGGATAACTCCTTCAAGTTGTGAGCTTCGGGGTCTGGGAGAATGGTGGTGCTTGTGGGTGGAAAGGAAGGAGATGGGGAGGGTTTGTTGTTCAGTTTCAGTTGTATCTCACTCTTTGTGACCCCATTTAGGGTTTTCTTGGCAAAGACACTGGAGTGGTTTGTGCCATTTCCTTCTTCAGCTTATTTTACAGATGAGGAAACTGAGGCAAACAGGGTGAAGTGACTTGTCCAGGGTCACATGGCTAGTAGATGTCTGAGGCCTGATTTGAACTTAGGACCTCCTGGTCCAGGCCTGGCTCTCTATCCACTCTACCACCTAGCTGCCAGAGAGGGTTTAGGTAGAGGGAAAAATAATGAACTCTCTTTTGGTTATGTTGAGTTTAAGGTGAATACTGGATGGCCAGTTGGAGATGTCTGAAAGGCTGTTAGAGATGTGAGATTGGAGGTCAGCCAAGAGGTTAGGGCAGGATAAGTAGATCTGAGAATTAATGAAGAATGGACTGGAATGCAGAGGCAGGAAGACCCACCCACAGGCTCTTGTCATGGTGTCCAAGGAGAGAAGGGGCCTGCACAGCCACTTAGGGCAGGGCAGGGGTCAGAGCAGGTCAGCCTTGGCCTTGTGCTGGGTCCCTGGCTCCCCAACAGCAGGACCCCATGAAGCTGCCCTGGTGTCTCTGGTCATTGTCTTATGTTTTAGACCAAACAGGGGCACTTAATTCTTTTCAAATAAGACTGAATGGGTCATCTGGAAGGACCCCTTCCCTCCTCTGGACCTCAGGCCAACAGGTCAGTCCAGACAAAAACATTTGATGTTTCAGGGATCGGTGACCTTCAGGGATGTGGCTGTGACCTTCAGCCATGAGGAGTGGGGGCATCTAGACCCCTCCCAGAAGGCTCTCTACTGTGAGGTGATGCTGGAGAATTACAGGAACATGGTCTGCCTGGGTGAGGACCCCAGGCTGCCCTGGGACCCAAACATTGCCCCTTGGAGGGAGGGCAGGGGCCTCAGCTGAGGACACAGTCACCGGGGCCCTGCTGGGACTGCCTTGTTTCCAAGGGGAAGGGTTTTTCTGGCCCCCTTCCCGAATGTGGGTCCCCCCTCCCTCCTGTTCCCTTGGGTACCAGACTGTCCCTGAAAGTCCCTGGGCAGCTCCCTGAAGGTAGGACAGGAGCCAGTGGGGCTCTCCTGGGCCCCCCGAGCCTGCCACCTTGTCCCAGTGAGAGGGGCTAGGCTGGACCCGAGGTGAGTTGCCATCCCCAGGACTCTCCCATTTCCCATCACTAGGACTTGCTGCTTCCCAGCCCAGTGTGATGGACCAGTTGAAGCGAGGAGAAGCCCCTTGGACTCCCGAAGGAGAAGGTGCGTGGAGCAGCTCTGCAGGTGAGTGTGAGACAGAGCTGGGTGGGCAGACGAGGGAGGCTGGTCATCCCCGTGGTGGATGAGGAGCTGTCCTGGAGCTCTCAGTAGTCAGAGTGCATTTATTGAGTGTTTGCTGTATATCAGACACTGTGCTAAATGCTGGGGATGCAGAGAAAGGCCCTGAAGGAGCCCACGAGCTAGAAACAGGTGGATGGAAGGCTGTCTCTGAGGGAAGGCCCCAGTGCGGGTGGGAGGGACCCTCTGGCCCCTTAGCCCCAGGAGCCATTTTCATTCTGTTTGGCGCAGGTCTGAGACACATGAGGATAGCTTGATCTCTGAGGTTGTCCGTCCCTCGTGCTATGGTCTCCTTTCCTCCCTAGCTGCAGCCACAAGCTGGGCAGAAGGTGGGCAGAGGGTGATTGGCAACATTCTTGGGGGAATGCTCCATGACTCCCCGTGATGTGCGATCACCTCATTCCTGAGGGTGGCATATCCTGCTGAGCTGAGCCCAATGCATGGCACAGAGTCAGACCTTAATTAGCAAGGAATTCACAACTAACAAGTTATATTAATAATAAATTAATCATCATTAGCCTGAGCTAACTCTAAATTATTATTAGTTAATTAATTGGGCAGCTAGGTGGCTCAGTGGATAGAATGCCTGGCCTGTAATCAGGAAGACCTGAGTTCAAATCTGGCCTTAGACACTTCCTAGCTGTGTGACCCTATTTGACTCAGTTTTCTCGTCTGTAAAATGAACTGGGGAAGGAAATTTCAAACCACTCTAGAATCTCTGCCAAGAAAACTCCAAATGGGGTCACGAAGAGGCAGATGCGACTGCAGTGCATAAACAGTAACAAGAACCTTGCTCTCTAAGCTGACTCCCCTGTAGAATTATAAGCCACGGGTCCCAGCCTAGTCTTTCCATTGTGGAAAACAAAACAAAAAGTCCCGTTTATTCCGGATGGTGTGACGTGGGCCATTTGCCACAGGATTTCAGTGGTTCTACCGGGTTCCCAGCTGCCTGGTCCCACTGGCCTGGGGCCATGTTGGATTGAAGGGCTCAGACTTGCTTGTCTCTTATTTGTTCTCAGGGGTTTGTTCTCTCTGGGCACCCTTGCACCTCTCTGGTTCTTACAAGCAGTTAACAAACATTTATTAAGCACCTAGTGTGTGCCAGGCACCGTGCTGGGTGCAGAGGATAAAATGAGACAAGGACCTGGGCATCCATCCGGATGGAGGGAGATGAGCAGGACATCTAAAAATGTAGACAGTATGAATGTAAAGTGAGTGAGCGCAGAGTATTCATTACTAGCATTGTTTACTAAGTACGTGAAGGAGATAAAAGGTAGTAGATACATGCAAAACATGGCACCTGAACCTCATGCTAAAGGGAGAGGGGGACTCTGTGTGTGCATGCATGTGTGTGCGCGTCTGTGTGTGTAAGATAGGGGGGCCGGTCCGGCTGGTCACAGAGGGCAGAAGGGCCAGTAACGACCAGTCTGGAAAGACCGGCTAGAGCCAGGTTGTAGAAGGCTTTTGGGTTGGAGTTGAGTCAGACCTGTCCTTGAGAGTCCCTTTGGCCACTGGGTGAAGGAGGGAGAGCCTTAGGGGACCCCTGGTGGTCGAGGTCAGAGTTGGGCCAGGGAGCTGTGGAGGAGGGTCGGAGGCACAGAGAAGAGTATGGGGGGAGCACCTGGTGGGGTCTCTAAATAGAGATGGCGGAAAGGAGTGAGCCCAAGGAAATGGACTGACCATGTCAAGAAGGGGTCTCTGATGGTCCCCTTTATCCGGGTGAGAACACTGAGGCAGACGGAAGTGACCTGGCTTGTCCATAGTCACCCAGCTAGGAGGTGTCTGGGGCTCCCTCAATGCACAGAGCGTGGCACTCAGGCCCATCGGACCAAACATTGGTGAAGCACCTACTATGTGCGTGCCAGCCGCTTTACCAAGATGATGTCACTGGATCCTCACAATAGTCCTTTGAGGGAAGTGCTGTTTTATGACCTCCATTTTACAGTTGGGGAAACTGAGGCAGTTAGCGGGGAAATGATGCAACTAGTCATCTGAGGCCAGGCCTAGCCACCTCTGGGCCTGAAGCAGGCCCAGACAGGCTGCCTTGGCTTTGTCCCTGTGGGACTCTGAGGGACTTGGCATCTTGGTGTGATGACCCCTTGGCCCTGGGATGTGTGGGGCCATGTCTGGGGCTCAGATGGTGGAGCTAAATTTGCTTAAATTCCTGTAGTCTCTGTAACAATTTCTGCTTTTTACAAGGAAGGCTCCAAGCCATCCTAAATATTAGCAAACTACTGCGAATACGTATTCCGAAAGAGATCTGACAGAAGGTCTAGTGTCCCCTCCCCACTTGCCTGCTTGTAGTCAGAGGAAGGCTGGGACGTCCCAGGCACAAAGCACGGTGCTTGTCCCACACGGCAGGGCTTACTCAGTGCTTTTCAGCTGCTCAAGTTTATTTTGGCTGTGATTATGCCATCCCTGGTGTCATCCAGCCCCTTGTCCTGCTGTGGCATGCCCTTCCCCCTTTTTGAGATTGTTGTATTTCTGCACCAAACTTTGTGTATATGTGCTCATGTGGGTTTCCAACTTACTTTGATTGTTTCAGTTAACAATGAGCTTAGTCTGCCACCCAGCCATTTCTCCATATTTTTATACTCTTCTTTTCATGCAAACCAATTAGGAGAAGTAGCCAGGACAACCTCCTTCCTCCTCTTAGGCTCCTTTGATTTTCTCCCTTTAAACCTTCAGAACAGATCCATCCCATCCCAGGATCCCTAGTTTATTTGCTTTTTAATTGACCTCCTTCATTAACCTTTGAAGACATTAAGGTCATCATGCAGGCCCTTCTGGTTGCTCAGATTCATGTACCTTTCTAGGTTTCTCTGGGCTCTTGTGTTTGTATTTCAAAGTTCCTACTCTGCCCTGGTCTTTTTGTCAGAAATGGGTGGATGCCCTCTATTTCATGAAAGGTCAGTTTGTGATTCTTGGTTCTAGCCCCATCGCTTTTGCCTGTTGATATTTTGCACCCTGTCATCTCCTCTCTGTCTTGGTGGTAGCTGCCAGGTCTTGGGTGATCCAGACTTTACTTATTTGTTTTTGGTGTGGACAGTCTTCCTTTTGAGGAGTTAAGGAGTTTAGAAGAATTTCTTTTAGCTTCACCTTGCCCTGTGCAGTTTTCACTTATAATTTCTTGAAACAGAGTGTCCACGTTCCCCAGATTGTCCCCAGGTCTCCTTGACCTGTTTTCCAGGTTGGCGCCCTGCTCTTGGTTCCTGACTGCCATGGGGTGTTCTCTGGGGAGCCCTCAGCCTGCACTGCCTCTGGAGACAGCACCATGTCCTGGGCTGTCTTTCCTGCCTGTTCTGGGACCAGTTTTCCTGGAGGCCTCTTTTCCTATTGCCCAGGGGCTCCAGGGATGGAAGAAGAAGTCCCCTGGACTAGTTTCTCACTGTGTCTCTTCATGATTATTTGTTTGGCTTTTGACAGGCAGCCTCTGGGGCTTTCCCTAGGAGTCTCCTGGCCAAGAATCCTTGCAGGATGTTTGAACTGATTGCTGTCTCCCTCTGTAGACTTTTCCTAGACCCTTCAGATGTGTGCTCAGCTCAGAATTAGGGTTATAATTAGGATGAAATTGTGAAGGAAAGATGTAGACACAAGAATCCACCTCTGTCTCAATGAGTGGGAAGGGTTAGGGAGAGTGGGGGCATCTCCATGGAAGAAGCGTAGCTGTGAGCACCACCATAGGGCAAGTGGTCTGAGCACTGGACCGTGGAGTATTGTGGTGGGCCAGCCAGTGGGTGGGGGAGGGGGATTTGGGGGCCTTGGAAGAAAGAGGCACCAAGGGTAACCCAATGGGAGCCTCTCTCCCCCCATCATGGTTCTGGTTTTTTCCCTTGGTGACCTTTCTAGGGTCAGCTAGAAGGTGCAATAGGGCACAGAGCACCAGGCCTGGAGTCGGGAGGACTTGAGTTCAAATCTAGCCTCAGACACTCACTAGCTGTGTGACCCTGGGCAAGTCCCTTCTCCTCTCTCTGCCTCAGTCTCTTGAATGGTAAAATGACCCTAACCTCCCTCCCAGGGTTGTGGTGAGGATACAGTGAGATCGTATTCATAAATCACTTAGCATGGTGCCTGCCTGGCACACAGGAGGTACCTTATAACTGTTCATTCCTTTCCCCTTCCTTTCTGTCTTCTTTCCTTCCCAGCCCCTCACCCAATCATGCAGTTAGGAAGCATTTAGCACCAGGAATACAGGGACCCAGGGGACGTGTAACCCCTGCTCTTGAAAAGCTTGGGACTGTGTGTGCGCAGATAAACCTGCATGAGAGAATCCTGAGAGCTAGCCAGAGGTTTGAAAGCGTTTTTTGCCTGTCAGTTTGTTGGCTTTGGGGCGGGGATGGGGTGTGGGGGGGTGGTAGGTGCTATCCTCTCCACTTTAGAGACGAGGAGACTGAGTCTGAGAGAGGCTGACCAATGACCCGTCCAGGATCACTTAGTGAGGAGGTTGCTGAGGAAGCGCTTCAAGTCCCGAGTGCTGACACTTTATAAGTGAAAACTGCACAGGGCTGCCCAAGTGCACGAGATTGATGGGGAATCCCTGAGCGACGGCAATCCAATTTTTGTTGAAATTCCACAGCCATGTGGGGCTTGTTCAGTGTAACAGCCTGGGTTACCCCATTACAAAAAGGTGCACTGGGCCAGCTGAGCCACTCAGTCTTCTCCTCTGGGAATGTGATAACTGACCTCCCTATTTAAGAAACCGTTATGAGGATGAGTTTATGCACCACAAATAAGTAGGCTGTTACTTGTTCTGCACATTGAAGTGTGACGCGCATTTTCTGGATGGAAGGAGAGAGAAGACAGGACTCTATGTGTCCCCGGTGAGGATGAGGGAGATTCACGCTTTTCTCTCTTTCAGATTGGGAGACTAGACCAGAAGCCGAGGAGTCTCTCTGAAGTTGGGTGCTCTGAGGGAACAGTCGTCCCAAGGAAGACTCACAAGGACAGATTCCTCTGTTCTCTGCTTGAGGGGAGCCTGGGACCCCACGGATGCTGACCCAGAGAGGGAGCAGAGAGAGGAAAAGGCGGAGGAGGCAGTCAGGGCTGACGGCAGAAGCTCCAGGCTGGGCCAAGGACCTCTTGGTGGGAGTGTCTGCAGTTCTGAGGCTCACGGAAGGAGCTTCAGGCAGTGTTCAGAGCTGAGTAAATGGAGCAGAATCTGCTCCAAGAAAATATTTTTCAGCTATAATGAATACAGGATAGGTTTCAGCTCATCCTTTGCTTCTCATCAGTCTATTCACACTGAAGAGAAACATCATCAGTGCAGTGAATGTGGGAAGACTTTCAACCACAGCTCATCCCTCACTTCCCATTATAGAATTCACACTGGAGAGAAGCCTTATGAATGCAAAGATTGTGGGAAGGCCTTCTCCCATAGGTCACAACTGACCTCCCACTGCAGGGCTCATCTTGGGGAGAAGCCTTATGAATGTAAGGAGTGTGGGAAGGCTTTCCTCCAGAGGACCCGGCTTACTCGACACCAGAGTATTCATACTGGTGAGAAGCCGTACCAGTGTGATGAGTGTGGCAAGGCCTTCACTCGAAGTTCCTCCCTCATTTCCCATCACAGAATTCACACTGGAGAGAAGCCTTATGAATGCAATGAGTGTGGGAAAGCCTTCAACCGAAGCTCCTCCCTCATTTCTCATCACAGGCTTCATACTGGAGAGAAACCTTATAAATGTAATGAGTGTGGGAAGGGCTTTCGCCTGAGGGCAGAACTTGCCCGCCACCGGACGGTTCACACTGGAGAGAAACCTTATGAGTGTAATGAGTGTAGGAAGACCTTCTGCCTGAGGGCCGAACTCACCCGACACCAGACAATTCATACTGGAGAGAAACGCTATGAATGCAGTGAATGTGGGAAGGCCTTCACCCGTAATCCTTCCCTCATTTCCCACTACAGGATTCATACTGGAGAGAAACCATTTGAATGTAAAGAATGTGGGAAGGCCTTTGGCAGGAGAACAGGACTCATTTATCACCAGAGGATTCACACTGGAGAAAAACCTTACACCTGCAGTGAATGTGAGAAGTCTTTCTCCCATAGGTCAGAACTTACTTCCCATTACTGGATTCATCTTGGGGGGAAACCTTATAAATGTAATGAATGTGAGAAGGCCTTTGGTCAGAGAACACAATTAATTTGTCATCAGAGAATTCATACCGGGGAGAAACCCTTTGGATGTAAAGACTGTGGGAAGGCCTTTACCCGCAGCTCCTCCCTTACTTCCCATTACAGAATTCATACTGGAGAGAAACCATATAAATGTGTTGAATGTGGGAAGGCTTTTGGCCGGAGAACTGAATTAATTTATCACCAGAGAATTCACACTGGGGAGAAACCCTATGAATGTAAGGAATGTTCAAAGGCCTTCTCCCATAAGTCAGAACTTACTTCCCACCAGAGGATTCACACTGGGTGGAGGCCTTACGAATGTAAGGAGTGTGGGAAGGCCTTCCGCCTGAGTTCACACTTTGCTCGCCATCAAAGAATTCATACTGGGGAGAAACCTCACAGATGTAGTAAATGTGGGAAGACCTTCAGCTGTCACTCATCCCTTGCTTCCCATCGCAGGATTCATACTGGGGAGAAAACTCATGAATGTCATGAATGGGGGGAGGCCTTCCGTCTGAGGGATGAACTTGCCAGACATCAGACAGTCTACACTGGAGAGAAATCTTAAGCAGTTCAAGTCTGATGAGTAGATTGTAGACAGGTCCCTCCCTGGACTGTGAATTAGGGAATTCATGTGGAAAGGAAGTCTCATGGGCAGGCAGGTCCCTGCTCACTCCTTTCCCAGCTTCGCCCACCCTCCGGTGCTTTCCTTCCTTGAACCTGGTTCAGTGTAGATGTTGGGATGTGGAAGGGTTTGCCTGCCTCCTCAGGCCCAGTCTTTTCTCTGTACCCACGAGGCCTTCCTGCTCCAGGGTCTGAGAACAGACCTCATCGCCTCTCGTGGTTTTTTCCTTTGAGAAGAACTCAAGTTGTGTTTTTCCCTTCCCTTCCCCCTCCCCTGGGAGAAGGCAAGTGTGCACCGGTCCATCCACCCTGCCTGATAGCACCTCTCTGGCCCATCCCTTTCCCTCCGTTGTGGTGGTGGAGCCCATCTCTCACATTTGTTGTGACTCGCCATGTTCATGAGCATCCAGAGCCTCCTGTCAGCGTCCACAGAGCCGGATGTTGTGAAGTGTCCTTCTTGTGGGGAGGAGGAGCCGTTGCTGAGTCAATTGTTGCCCTAATTCTGGCAGAGTTCTGATTTTTTCACCCAGATTTGCGCAGCCCGTCGGCTTCCTCCACGTCAGCTATACCTAACCCTCACCCTGGCTGTGGTTTCTCCAGGGCTGGCCCAGTAGCCCGCTCAGTTCCCTGCCACCTGCCATGTTCTCAACACTGCAGTCTGGTCTGTCCCAGCCACTCCATGAAACGTTTATAAGTCACCAGGGACCTGTTAATTAACAAGTGCTGTGACTTTTCTTTCACTGAGCAAAATGGAGGGCTGCCCCGTTAACTAGCCTGCAGACTTTGTTGGTAGTGGCCTTGGGCAGAGAGCCCCAAGAGGGCTCTGGCCCACTGGCCATCCCGGGTGTGTGACGTGCACAGGACATCAGAGGGAAGGCCCCACCTTGAGCAGAACCCAGAGCCACTAGTCCTAGGAGCTCTGTTCTCCTGTCCTTCTGCTACGCCTTTGGCACTGTCCACCGATTCCCTCCTCCTGCATTCTCTCTCCTGTCTCCTCTTCAGACTCACAACATTTGCTGTCCCCCAGTCTCTGCGTCTGCCTTTCCTAGCTTTGTTCTCTCCCTCACTGCTGAAGGTGGAGGCTGGAGAGGTGTGGGAGGAACAGAATAGGTTTGCTGAAGGAAATGCAGTCTCCACCGGGAGTCCCGGGAAGGGGCCCCTTTCCATCCTGGCCCTGCTTTTTTTCCTCGGTACTCAGTCCAGTTTCATTGATTGTCTGTCTGCAGGTTACTCCCCAGTGGATGTATCCAGGGGTCCCCTTCCACATCATCAGCTATCGGATATTTCTAGACAGGTTTGATCGTGCTGTATTGCCCCTCTCCATTGGAGTAAACCAGCCTGCTCGTCTGCCTTTTCCCATCTCCTGCCCTGGGCCTTCCCAGAGACTCTGCCCCATGCTGTCTGCTCTCCCTTTTCCCTTCTGTTTCTTGGAGTCCCTCGTTCCATCCTCAGCCATTGCCACTGCCTCTCCCTTCTGCTCTGTTTCTCTCTCTCTCTCCACATACATACATGTTGCATTAATTTTGTTATTTAGTTGATTTTCAGTTGTGTCCAACTCTTTGTGACCCCATTTGGGGTTTTCTTGCAGAGATACTGGAGTAATTTGCCATTTCCTTTTCTGCCTCATTTGACGGATGAGAAAACTGAGGCAAACAGGGCCAGGGTCGCACAGCCAGGAAATGTCTGAGGCCAGATTTGAACTCAGGGAGTTGAGTCTTCTTGACTGCAGGCCTGGTGCTCTGTGCACGATGGCACCACCCAGCTCCCCTATTTATTTGCCTGAGTGCATATTGTTTTTCCCAGGAGAATGTAAGCTTTTGGAGGGCAAGGACTGTCAATTTTTGTCTTTGTAACCCTAGTGTCCAGCACAGTGCCTGGCACATGACAGATGCTTCATGTATGTTTACTGAATTGATTCCTCTACTCCCAAGCTCCCCTGAAACGTTGGCTGCTCTCGTGAGAGGCCCCCATGTCCACACTCCTTGTTTCTCACCCCAGAGGCCCAGTTGCTGTCCCAGTGAGAGGCTCATTCCTGGTGGTGAGGAGTTCCAGTCCTCGGTCCTCCAGGCTGACCCCAAAGAGTTCTCTGAGCCTCAAGTGTAGAATTGTCTATTCCCTTTCCCTCCCTCTTCTGCTCTCCAATCTGCAAGTCAATGGGCATTTATTGTGTTCCAGGCACTGTGCTAAGCCCTGGCCCTCCAGGGGCTTACATTCTAGTGGAGGGAGACAGCCCTTTTACAAAAGGGGAGGTGAACGGGGAGGGTGGAAAGTCCTTGTGTGGAGGCAAGGTGGGGAAGTCGGGGGTGAGTCGTGGAGACCAAGGTTGTCTTCCCTTCTCGGATCCTGTGTCCCCATCGAAGCCACCTGAATTCTGTTTCCCTTAGGAATACTTCATCGGAAGAAATCTGCAGTGTGGAGAGGCATCCTTGAGTTCTTCCTCTTCTCCGGCAAGCAGGGCAGACTGAACTTGGAACATAGAAGAGCCTCTCAGTGGTGGCAGAAACATGTAGAGCATCCCCCTGGGGTTAGCCCTGCGTTACACTCGCAGGTGGCTTCCCATTTGCTGCAGGTTCAGCCAGCTCTTGGGGTTTGCAGGTTAGATCCCACGTTTTCATGGAACCCCATCCTTTTCTCTGAGCTCTACACTAATTTGGAGGTTTACTCTAACAAGATGGTGTTCTGTACACAAACAGTTGGTCTGGGATGTAAAGAGGACTTTGCTGTCAAAATCATGCTTTAGTTTTTGTTGGGTTTTTTTTGTTTTGTTTTTGATGTGTTAATGGTATTTAGTATCTAGCATCTGATTCTTTTCTCAAAGAAAGTCCAATAGTTTGGTGAACTGTTTCACTGTGGCTTCTTGCGCCCTCATTCCTGATTCGTACTTTGCAGTGGATTATTTGTCATTATCTTCATCTGCCATCTCAATTTTAATTGAAGTTGATAAGTATCAAAGATGTTGATTTAATTTGGGAGGGTCTTATTCTGTTCTGCAGAATGTCCTGATGTCTTTATGCTCAGAAGCAAGTGTGTTGGCACTGGGTTGTGATTATCTTCCTGGATTATTTTCTTCTTTGAATAAAAAAATACTAAGCACTTATGATGTGCAGAGCACTGTGCTAACCCTCAGGATGCAAACAGAACTGTAAGGAATTCACATTCAAATGGAGAAAGGTGTCAGTTGTATGTCTGAGGGAAAGGTCCCATGGTCCTTGGGGAATGGGGGCAAAGCAGATGGGCATGCCTTTTTCATGTAATCTGTGCTGAGATCCCGTCAGTTTCGTGGGGTGAGCCATTTTGACCGCTCTGCCAGGGACTTTCCTTTCCAGGTCTTTAGTCGCTGTGGCAGCAGCACCTGCAGGAGTCGTCCCCGGGCTGAGGGCCCTGGGCTGGAAACAGGACCATGGGTCTAGAGCAGGGGTGGGGGGTGAGGTGGGGCTGCCACCCTCAGAGCTCCTGTGCTCATCTGGCTCTCAGTGGCAGATGGGCAGTAGTTTTTGTCGGTGGTGAGGCAGTGTTAGAGATCCTTTCCACGATGATTTTTTCCCCTCAATGATGACAAGCTGGGGCTGGGGTGGAAGCCGATATGGTGGTTTGAAGCCCTTGGGTTCAGGATCCTGGGCAGTCTCCATCAGGGTCTGTGGGGAGATGGTGGTCAAGGGGTGGTGGCGGTCTGACTTGCCTGGCACATGCTGCTTCACCTAGGCTGACTCGCCTGCCCTTTGGGGGACAGCTGGTGGGCATGGCTGGTCCTTTCTCCTCAGGAGTTGCTTCCGTGAGTGCTGGTTGTGGGGGCTTGCAACATGTCTCGAACTACTTATCATTAGCGCTGCACTGTGGGATGACCACATGTCATGTCTTTGGACACCCTACCTGCCAGTTTCTCTATTTGCCTTTTCAAGGACAACCCATGACCTGTCCTGTTTAGCTGCACCTTCCTTCTGGTTTCATTCGTTTATTCATTCACTGCCACCAGGCAGTTCCTCCAGTAACACCACTGAACAATGATCTCTCATTTAGAGGAACAAGAGATGGACCCAGGTTGAGACCCAGTCCAACCACAGTCTGAACTCATTCTTTAGACCCCCTGCCCTGCTTGTTTGGCCACAGCACAAGTCCCTTCCGCCACAACATAATTGAGTTCATTTGTCTTCTTCTTTGCTTCATGGGTTGTGCTGGCTAAAGAATTCACCACCAATTGGCCTGCCTATTGGTGACTACCTGTCCTGTGCTTGGTTGGGCTGGTTCTTGGCAAGCAGATGGACCTTTGATCTGTTGTTCAGGGGCGGCTAGGTGGTGCAGTGGATAGAGCAGCGGCCCTAGAATCAGGAGGACCTGAGTTCAAATTTGGCCTCAGACACATAATACTCACTAGCTGTGTGACTCTGAGGAAGTCACTTAACCCCAATTGCCTTACCAAAAAAAAAAAAATCTGTTCAGACCGTACTTTGAGCCTTGCCAGCCTGGTAGCCTTTAGGAGCCCAAGGCCAACCATTTTCCCTTGACTTTCAAATTTCGTTGACAGAAGTTCATTTAGATTAGGGGATTTGAACCCATCTAGGGCAGTGAGGGCTTCTCTTTCTATGTGGTTCAGGAAGAGCCTCAAATCTGTTTGTACAATTGACTCTTTCCCTTCTGCTTGTGTTTTGTGGTGGGTGGAAAATGAAGTGACTGAGGAAACAAAGGTTCAATCTTCAGGGCATATCAGTTTATTAAGCAATGCATGCCAGTTGCCCAACACACCAGGATTAGGCCCCTTCCTCAGCTTAGGGCTGAACCCTGAGTACAGGGGGAGAGAGACTTTTATACATTAAAAACAAGGAAGACCAATGAATTAAAAGGAAACAATACAACATTAGGTAATCTGATTTCTAACTGGATGAAAGATTAGAGACTTTCCAACTTGGGAGAGGGAGAGCAAACAGGTGCAATTGTCCCCCTCCCCAGCCTCTAGTCGCAGGAACACGGTAACCGTAACTGAGCAGTACAGGGTCAGTTTTCAGGTAAAACATAAAGGTTGCTGTGAGAAAACTCTTTGCATCAATCCTTGGATCCGACTGGGTTTGTGGTCAGCATAACTTAGGTCATTAGTTAAGGGTCTGTAAGCAGCAGGTAGAGGCCAGTTTCCCAGCCACACAGAGCTAGGTTCAAGAAATGCAACAAGATTTTCTCCCAATTCCCACAACTGAACAACGTTTTCCCACATGCTAGAAGTTGGATTAAACTCCTAATTGAGTAGAAAGGTGCAGAATTGAGTCACAAGACAGTCAGTGTGGTTCACCTCATTCCTACTTCTTAACTACTTGCTGTCTGAATCCCCTTCATTTCCTCAGTGTGACACTTCCAACAAGAGCCATCTCCCCTTCACATCGTTCCTCTTTTTATCCCTTTGAAACCTTGCTTCTGTTTCCTTTAGAAACACTTCATTCTCCCTTACAACCTAAAGTGGGGAGAGGTGTGTTTTGAGGCCCTTTGCCTTCAGAAGGGAGAGCAGTCGCCATTTGCCCCACAGGTGGTAGTCATTAAGCAATGGCAGAATTACAGAAATTGCACACTCAAGCAAATCACTGCACAATTTCTCCTAAGTTCCACATGGTTGAGATGATCAGGCTTATTTGCACAGCTCGTTAGTGTTTTCATTTCAGCCCCAAGCATCTAGATAAAACACTACCTTTCAGTGCTCAGTAATGACAGTCTCACCCCAGTTTCTTACTTTTGTTTCAACAAGCCCACAACCATGATCACAGCCCCTTCAGTCTTGCATCAACAGCTTCTGGTCTATTTCTCTCCATTTTCCATCAGTGGCTCTCCTTCGTTTCAACTCCAGGGAAAATCATTTCCCTGTTCCTGGCACCCTCTGTTGACACCCCAGCCCTTTTCAGCTTCCTTTTATGGATTATCTTCCTCAGATTATATGCTCCTTGAGGGCAGGAACTTTGTTTTTTGTAGTTGTATCCCCAGTGCTTAGCACAGTGCCTGGCACATAGTAGATGATTAATAAATGTTTATTAAATTGAATTTTGCCAATTTGCTCTGTCCATCAATCCACTCACCAATTTCCTTTTAACCCTCTAATTGTTTGACTTGCCATTTCTTATTTATCTCCTTTTCTTGCTATCTTTGATTTGTCCTTGAGTCTACCTCTTCAAGGTCTACTCTGGAGGCAATAGTTGACACAGTAGATAGAGTGTTGGACTTGCCTTTGCTCCTGTTCACATGCTGCTGAACAAAAATGGAGAAAATCACAAACCCACGTTGACTGGACCTGCTGTCTGTTGGAGTCCATCAGTTTTCTCTCTGCAGGTGGATAACATCTTTCATTGTGGGTCTTTTTGAATTGTGGTGGGTCATTGTGTTAATCAGAGTTACTAAATCTTTCAAAGTTGTTTATCTTTATAATATTAGTTACTATGTAGATGGGAAGCTGGGTGGTGAAGTGGATAGAGCACTGTGCTTGGAATCAGAAAGACTACTCATCTTTCTGAGTTCAAATCTGACATCAGACACTTACCGTGTAACCCTGGGCACTTAACCCTGTTTTTCGCAGTTCTTCATCTGTAAAATGAGCTGGAGAAGGAAATGACAAACCACTCCAGTATCTTTGCCAAGAAAACCCCAAATGGGGTCGTGGAGAGTCAGACACAACTGAAATGACTGAACAACAACAAAAATGACATGTAGCTAGTTCTCCTGGTTCTGTTCATTTCACTTTGCATCGGTTCATATAAATCTTCCTGGGTTTTTCTGAAACCATCCCCTTCATCATTTCTTACGGCACAATAGTATTCCATCATCTTTATGTGCCATTACTTGTTCAGCCATTCCCCAATTGATGGGCATCTCTTTTAATTTCTGGTTCTTTGCCTCCACAAAAAAAAAGTCTGCTATAGATATTTTTGTCCTGTTTCTTTTCCTTTGATTTCCTTGGTGTATAGAGCTCATAGTAGTATTGCCAGGTCAAAGGGTATGCACAGAGTCTACCCTGTTAACAAAAGACCCTCAGACCCATAAAGGGACCTGAAATGAAACAGAGTCTGATTAACAGATTACAAAGTGTTTATTGTGTGAGAAAAGCTTGCAGGCGATAGAAGATCCTGCAGGGAAGCAGAGAGGGAGAGAGAGTTCTCAGCTGCTCAAAGGGGAGTGGAAAAAGGGTGAGACAATATAGTTTCTAGAGGCTTTTGGGTGGAGAGCAGGGGTTAAGGGAGAAGACATCTATAATCACAATAAGCTAGGGACCAGGATGTTTAGAAAGTCCCGAGCAAGGTCGTGAGTCTGCAGCTTCTGTTCAAGGTTACCCTTGAGCTGGTCAAGGCTGGTTCTGTGGTTTCTGGCAGATACAGGCATCTCCAAATTCAGCTAGAATTCACTTGCAAAAGATCATTGGTATGTCAAGCAGCTCTGAGCCTCAGAAACCCTTCTAATTGGCTGGTTGGTATGTAACTCTATTGTCCTGCTCCTCTGTGAAGAAGGGAAGGTCTGACATATAGTATAGTCATTACAGAACCCATGTTAACAACCCCAAGCGTGTGAAGATTTCCCCCCTGGCAGAATGGTCACATAAAATTAGTGGCCATGAAGAAGGCTGAAGCAGGTGCTATGGAGTGATTAGACCTTAGTTAGACATTGAAGATGCCAAGATCATCCCCACATCTCCAGCCAACACCAATCATCTTGACTTTTGCCTTGCCATTGGACTCCAATGACTCTGGAAGTGAGCAACTCTGCCTCTCTTAAATCCAGTTTATTCTACAATCAAAAGACATCACCTATACCATTTGACCATTTTTTATCTACACCAAAGTCCTGTGGCCACAGGCAGGTGACAAAGCAGCAGGTGTAAATACTTTGTTTTTGTTTTTCTTTTGGCTAGGCAATGGGGTTAAGTGACTTGCCCAGGGTCACACAGCTAGTATGTGTTATGTGTCTGAGGCTGGATTTGAACTCAGGTCCTCTTGAATCCAAGGCCAGTGCTCTATCCACTGTGCCATCTAGCTGCCCCAGGTGTAAATACTTTGGGAGCTGTAGTCACAAGCCTGCACAGAGGTGGCCCAGGCCATAGGATCGTCTCACTGGACTGAAGCAGCAGTGGGATTCAGCAGCCCCCTGGTTGTCTGAGTAGCCTGTTTTATAAGGACTATGCTGCTCACTTCTTGTTGTGAGGGAAGGGGCTAGAAAATGTTCCCTAAAAATTGTTTCACCCAACTCTGTACTGCTTACTATGGCAGACAGAGCTTCCACCCTATGGTTGAAACACACAAAAAAATGTACAAAAACTTTTCTGAAGATGATTTTACTCACCATTGGTGCATGGAATGTGTGTACATTTATAAAAATCCAGTAGACCCAAAAGATGAACAGCTCTTGTTTTGAGAAGACTCAGCATGTGTTGCATCCAAATGGCAGCCCTAAGTGAAGCAAAACTGGCAAGTGAAGGCCAGCTTACTGAAGCTGGAGCTGGATACACATTTTTTCTGGAGTGGCTGAAGTGATGGGGAGCTCTGTGAAACTGGCATAAGTTCTGCAATCAAAATTAATTTAGTCATTAAGCTTGTGTGCCTCCCAAAAGGAGTGAATGACAGGCTCATGACAATGTAATTGTCACTTGCAGGCACCATGCCCCCACCACGACAAACCCTGATGAGATCAGAGAAGGCCAGAAGGGTCACAGACTATCAGAGATGGCAGGGAGTCCTTGGGAGAAATGGAGCTGGAAACAGCAACAGCAATGGTCACTTCTTACTGAAGACTTGTGCATCTCATGACCTCATCATCAACACTGTCTTCCATTTACTTAAAAACAATAAAACTTCACGAATCCACCCTCACAGCAAACATTGGTATTTAATAAATTACGTCATTATAAAAAGAAGAGACAGAGAAAAAGAAGAGACTGTGAGAGTGCTGAAGTGTGAGAGTGTGGCACAGAGTGCTGGACTTGATCATAGACTTATCCTCTCCAAGCTAAGCATTTGCATTTAACAAAAGCAGTGGCCTCAAGGCAAGATGACTACCAGCAAACCTAATGTCAATAGATTATGGTTCTTCTCTGGTGGGGAACAGTTGGCAACAGTGGGGCAGAAAAGGAGTGGGCAGCTTTCAGAGATTTGGTGTATAGCACTGCATTTGCTCATCTGAGTCAGAACACTTGTAAACATTGAGACTGATTTGATGAAAATGATGGGGAATTTTGGAAACTGCTAAATGAGAACTCCACAGGATTTACCAGCAGGATAGTTCATCCATCTCTAAGAAGGCAACATGTAATTCCATCAAAATTAAAGTACAAGCAAAACTTGGAGAGAGATGTAGGATTCTTGGGTCAGTAAGAAGGCAGATGAAATTCTGTTTTATGCTGATAGTAACAATCCAAAGGACTTTTATGATGCCATGAAGGCTTGTTTATGGGCCAAAGATGTATGTGTGTCTCACCTACTCAGTGCTGATGGATCCACATTGACTAGTGATAAGGATATGATCCTGGAGAGGTGGCCTGAACACTTCCATAGTGTTGTCAACAGACCATCATCAATCAATGCTGAAGTCATTGACCACATACCTCAGGTTGAAGTCAATCCCTCTCTAGCTGAACTTCCAACTGAAGAAGAGGTTTTGAATGCCATTAAGCTCCTGTCATGTGGCAAAGGACCTGGTGCTGATTCTATTCCAGCTGAGATTTATAAGGCAGGGGGCCCGCTTCTCATACAAAAGCTGACTGAAATTTTCTGGATTATATGACAAAAGGAGGTTATCCTCCAGAAGTTCAGGGATGCCTCCATTGTCCATCTCTATAAAGGCAAAGGAAAGAGATTATCCTGTACAACCCTGGGGGAGGAGGGGGCCTTCTCTCTTAGTCATTGGCAGCAAGATTCTTGCCAGAGTCCTCCTCAATAGGCTGATCCTTCACTTGGAAGATGATCATCTACCTGAGAGCCAGTGTGGCTTTAGAAAGGGCCGAGAAATGGTCAATATGGTGTTTGCTGCCTGACAACATGGTCTGTATACAACATTTGTCTATTTGACCAAGGCCTTTGATACTGCCAGTCATGAGGGCTTATGGAAAATTGTGTCAAAATTTGATTGCCTGGAGAAGTTCATCAGTACTGTACTTCAATTACACGATGGCATGCTTACCTGGGTTCTGTATAATGGACTATGCTTTCGTGCTTTCTCAGTCACCAATGGAGTGAAACAAGGCTGTGTGCTTGCTCCCATGCTTTTTAGCAGGATGTTTTCAATAATATTCTCAGACACCTTAAACAAGGCCAAACACCACATCCGCATCCGCTACACAGATGGTAAATTATTTAACTTGAAAAGTGTACAAGGCAAGACTATATTGCAGGGAGAAATGGTGCATGTATATCTGTTCATAGATGATTGTGCACACAACACAGCCTCTGAAGCTGAGATGCAACAAAGCATGGATCAATTCTCTGCTGCTTGTGCTAATTTTGGCCTAACAATTACCACCAAGAAAAACCAGGTGCTCCACCACCCAGCACCACACCATCCATAGGTGGAACCATTGGTTACAACAAATGGAGAAGCTTTAAATGTAGAGGATAAGTTCACTTACCTTGGTAGGGATGTACACATTGATAATGAGATTGATGTGCGCATTGCCAGAGCTAGCTCAGCGTTTGGGAGGCTACAAAAGAAAGAATGGAATAAAGGAGGTATTAGGCTGACTATGAAACTGAAGGTCTACAGAGCTGTTGTGCTGACCTCCTTGTTGTATGCCTGTGACACCTGGACGGTCTACCAGAGCCATGCCAGGAAACTGAATGACTTCCATCTGAATTGTCTTAGGAAGATTCTGACAGTCACCTGGAAGAATAATGCACCAGATACTGAGGTCCTTTCTCGAGCTAAATTGCCAAGCATTCAGACTGCATTGCAGAGAGCGCCTCTACGATGGCTGGCCACATTGTTTGAATGCCAAACCTACATTTGCCTAAAAAGCTATTTGACAGAGAACTCAAGCAAGGCAGATGTTCCCACGGCACTCAGAAGTGACACTCTGAAGGTCTCTCTGAAGAACTTTGGAATCAGTTAGGTGATGTGGGAGACTCCTTCTTTGCCTATTATTCCAAATAACTTATTTAATATTGGAATTAGTTAATCTTTAAACAATGGAGTATCTTCAGAATAAGGAAAAGTGCTTGTGTCAATATTATGTCAGCTGTGAAGGGAAGAAATCAGAGGTGTTGGTCAAGCAGCAGCTAGATGGTTTGTCCTGATTCAGCACGTATCACTGGGGTATGAATTTCAGGTCATATATGATACAATTTGGAAATTCTGCTCCTTTGATCTTTGTGATGATTTGCATGTGACTTCCAGGTGCCCCTTTGCTATCTTATCTCCTGCTAAAACTTACTGACTGGGGTGGGGGGAGGGGGGAACCAGAAGAAGATTCAATATTAACACAATCCACCCTGGGTCCCCTGACCACCAGCAGCAGCATGCACCACCAGGTCTGCAGATCTATCCAAACCAAATCACAGCAAGAAGAATAATCCTAACTGCAAAGGAACCCTGCAAGAATCCTGCTCTTTTGCCTGGAAAAATCCAGGAGAAAAGATCAGCGAAAACACTCATGGTCCCTGATGAGATATTCTTGTTGTCTGTGCTGATGCCACCAGGCCTTGGCTTGGTCTCTCCCAGTCTGTGGTGAGGGCTTTTCTCCCAATGGGACAAATCACATAAAACAGGAAGAGTTTGCACACAGACACAGACACAAACACAGACACAGACACACACACACACACAGACACACACACAGACACACACACACACACACACACACACACACACACAGACACACACACATGCCTGGCCATGCCCACCTTATTTCTTTTTCCTCTGAGTGGGGGAGGGGAGGTGGAGGCGAGAGGAGAGAATTTTTCCATCCCCCAAACTGTTTTATGGCCAAAAAACTGCTTGGAGCCTGAAACACGAAACCCTTGGACACATCACCCCCTCTGACCAACATTTCCTTCCTTGTTCCCCTGAAGGGGAGAGTGGAAGGAGAAGGCCATGCAGGGGTGGGGCAGAGGGATAGGAAGGGGTTGGGGCGGGGCTGGGGCAGGGCTCAGGCAGAGGACCAGGAAGAGAGGTGGGAGGGTCAACCCCCAGTGGTGGCCTGCTGAGGCCAGCCCCCAATTACCAGGCAGTGCAGAGGCTTCTGGGAAATAGGAACACAACATCTGCACCTTCTACACCTTTCGATACAATTCCCAAGATTTGACCTGCTTGGCCCATTAGCCGCCAAAGCCCCTGGAGCCTCCTGCTCACAACGCTAAGTGAATGGGTATTTAATTTATGAAATGTGGAAAGGGGGCAACAATAACATTTTAATAAGGCCCAGAGTTAGTGTTAGAAAAGTGGGGAAGGGTAGAGAGGACGGGGCTCATAGAGGGATGAGATGGGGGGAAGGGTGGCGTGGAGGAGGAGCAAGGGCAGAGAGCTTTCTCCCCCTCTCCAAAGCACCGGGGAGCTTAGATTCCGGGGAGGTGGGGGGGGAGGTGGAATTTGATGTCTCATTTTTTTAGATTTTGGCGGGAAGAGACCAGCACCTTTCTGTGCCACCTTGGAGCTAGTTAATGGACATCCCAAAGTGATGAGCCCCTCTGCATGTCCTGCTGCTCCGGACCCGGCCAGGTCTGCATGGGGCTCTGAAAACCCAGACAAGCATCCCCTTTCCCTGCACGGCACATGTTGTTAGGATGTGAATTGTGATTAATTCATGATATACTGTATAAGTCACGCTCCTTTGATCTTTGAACGGTTTGGACATGACTGTCAGGTTCCCCTTCGCTGTCTTATTTCCTGATAAACCAACCTGACTGGGTGCGGAAAGGGTAACCGGGGATCGGGACAAGATACAATTTTAACACACTCTATAAAGATCCAGGAGTCCTGCCTGCCTGCCTGCCTGCCTGCCCCTAGCACCCACCTTGGACCCAGGCACCAAAGCCCCTACTCCCCTGCCTCCACTCCTTTCAAAGCCACCAGGCCCCTGCCAGGCAGCAGCATCCCAGACACGATTATGTCTCTGAGCCCCAGGCTTTGCCTGGTCAATCCCAGAGCCCTCTCCCTCCCCAGCCTTTCCTAGCTACACTCCTTCCAAGATCAAGCAGTCAGTCTGTGATCCAGATTCTGTGTGTATGAGCTGGGGAGAGGGGATGCAGGGAGGACAGAGGACCATTCAGAGGGAGAGCTCTGACTCAGGTCATTGAAGCTCTGAATGATCTCATCCCACCTGGGATTCTAAAGCCCTTTCTGCCTCCTGGGAGGATGGGAAAGTGAAGGGGGGCAGAAAAGAAGGAGTAAGAAAGTGAAACTATTGCAGTCTGAGAGGTTCAGAGACCCCTCAAAGAACAGAGTACAGGATACTGTCCATCTGGAATGAATTCACTGGCTCAAGCATTCTTTAAGTCAAGGTGGCAAAGATTAAGTTATGCTATACAGCAGGCAAGGATTGTCAAGGAACCTGCAGCCTAACAGGAATGATGCTAAAGCTTATATAGGAAAAGCAATGCATTATGTGCCAAGTATGCTGATTAGGTGATTGCATACAACCTTGGGCACAGGTGTCATTCTCTGCTGGAAATCTCAGGGAGGGGAGTTTCCTAAGGGGTGTGTTTTTGGTCTGTTATGTCTGAAGCAAGATAGCTTCGGGAGTTGACTTCTATAGCTTGACCTCTGGATTGTATATGGTAACTGTGGGCATCAGTACCTGATAGTTCTGCTGGTATGAGATAGTCCTGTTCATACAAGGGAAATTCTACAGTGGTCAGCTTGTTCTTGTAACAGGGAGAGATCATTTGCCTCACTGGGCCCACTCATGAGTCACTGCCAGAGAGAGTGTCCTTGGGCTGGAGGGAAACTGCCAGGGATAGTGTTTCTAAGGCCAGTGAGAAATATGGTCTTGAATTAAGGTCCTAGATAAAGGCACCCAAGTGTCCCTTCAGAACCATCTTTTTTTCCCAACCTGGACCCTAACTACATTCTCCTTCCCCTCTGTAGGTGAGAGTCTCTCCCTTGAGAGCAGGGCCTTGGCCTTTGTAACTCCTCTGGGGCTTCATTCCTTGCAAATCCCTGTAGGCCAGCCTCCTGCACCTGAAGAGAAGAGAAAGACCTCTCCCCCTCTGGGATCCTTCTCCCTCCCCTGCTCAGAGGGGACCAAGGCCTGGCCCAAGCACGGAGCCTGGTGCCTGAGGGAATGGCCCCTGGGAGCCACAGCCCCCCACCCCAGGTGAGTGCGATCTGTCCAGAGACTTAACCAACCTCAGCAATAGAGGTCATTTCCATAGACATAGGAGATGGTCTATGAAGCTGAAAATATCTTAGAGATTGCTTCTTTACAAAATTAGGCATGAAATTAGATATGGTATTAACCACACTGCCCTGCTCTCTGCTTCTGTGTTTTAAACTGATTCATTGACACTTTGGCATCTCACTCTGCCTCCACCTCCAACCTCTGACTGAGCCTCCGCCCCCCCTCCGACCCCAAATTGCTGCTCTCCCCTGTTTGACCTGACTCACAAGGACAACCACTTCACTGAAGTCCTGTCTTCACTGTCTTTTAGCCTGCCTAGCCCCATTACACACAGCTCCTCTCCCTTCTCTTTGTTTCTGGTGACCAAGCTCTCCCTTGTAGCAACTGAAGGTCCAGGGACCTGTTCACCCTGAGTCTTGTCTAGACAGACCTGGAGCAGATCCTGAAGGCTTTCCCAGCTCTTGTCCTTTGCAGTGTGGTCATCTGAGCAGAAACTGTGCTCCTGGTGTTGCTCATGTCCTCCCGCCTCTGCTCACACAAGCCTTCCCAGGTCTTTCTGAATCCCTCCCTTTTACCAGTTCTTAGGTAGAGCCAACAAGCATTTAGAAAAACCTATTCTGTGCCAGGCACTGTTCAAAACTTCCCTGGATACAAAGGAAGGAAAAACCAGTGCCTACCCTCGAGGAACTCCCAGTCTAATGGGGAAACAACATGTTGGCAGCTGTGTCCAAACAAGCTCTCTACAGGGTAGGTGGAAGCTAATCTCAGAGGGAAGGGGCTAACAGTTTCAGGGACATGGAAAAGCTTTTTGTTTCTTCAAAAGGTGAGACATCAGCTGAGACTTGGAGGAAGCAAGGGGGCCCAGGCAAAGGAGAACATTCCATGCATGAAGGATGGCCCCTGGAAAGGCAGCGAGTGAGGGGATGGAGGGTCTGGGTCACAGATCAGCCAGAAGGCCAGTGCCCCTGGGTCATCGAGGAAAAGGAGGAGGACGAGTGAGGTGGAAAAAGACTGGAAAGGGGATTGGAGCTGTTTATACGCACTTACTGTGTTCCAGGCACCTTATAGATTTTGTCTCACTCGATTTTGTTGCAAGAATTGTGCAGGTCCTGGCTAGTGACATTCTGGATGAGGCAGTGCAGGATTCAGCCAGACAGGTAGGCTGCCATTTTGTATCTACTCCAAGGGGAACATAGACCATGAGGAGGGAATCTATATCAGTGGACTGTTCAGCACATATCATATGTATATATATCTGTACATCTATCTATCTATCTAACTGTCTATCTATAGTTTTATTATTGTTCAGTCATGTCTGACCGTTCCTAACCCAATTTAGAGTTTTTTTTGCCAAAAATCCTGGACTGGTTTGCCATTTCCTCCTCCAGCTCATTTTACAAATGAGGAAACTTAGGCACATAGGATAAAAGTGACTGTTCCAGAGTCCCACAGCTAGTAATTATGTACAGCTGAATTTGAACTCAGCTCTTCCTTACTCCTTACTCCACCACTACACCACCATATCCTTTCCTCCTGAGCTACCAAACCCAGACAGAGTCCAAGCAGTTTTGGGTAAGACCAAGTAGGGCCCTTAGGCAAAAAAAGGTATAGAAATGATGCTTTTGTAAAAAAGAGGAGCTTCAAGTCTTCAAAGGCCTTTAGCTGGACTCTTTGTCCCTGACCAAAGAAGACAACATCTTCTTTATCCATTGGTTAGTTAACTAGCATCTGTTAAGGGTCTAGAATTTCCCTGGTTTGAGAGGATAGAGAAAGGAGTCCTGGAATTCCTGGGAGTTTTCTTTTCCTGTAAGGGGAAGGCAGATGCTGAAGGATCCACAGGACTCAAAGGCAAAGAATTTTAATTCGGACAAAGTGGAGTGACTTCTGTTCTCCCCAAAATCCACTTCTGCCCGTCTTTATAACCCTATGAGATAGGTGTACTTATTATCTTTATTTCACAGTTCAGGAAACTGACGCAAATCAAGGTGAAATAACTTCCAGGGTCACATGGCTAGTAAGTGTCTGAGGCTGCATTTGAACTCAGATCTTCGTGATCTTGTACCATTTCATAGCTCTGCATACATAGATTGTATTAGTGTGCCTATCTTCCCACAACCCCTCCAACATGGACTGTTGCTGGTTTTTATCATTTTTGCCCATTTACAGAGTGTGAGATGAAACCTCAGTGTTTTCTCAATTTGCACTTCTCTTATTGGAGCATTTTTTCCATGTGGTTGTGAATCCTGGGAAGCCCTTTTTTTGAGAATTCCTTGTTCATATGCTTTGACTTTTTATCTATTGGGAAATGGCTAGTAGGCTTATGTTTATTAATTGTTTACATATCTTGAATACCAAACTCTTATCAGAGAATTTTGATACCCAGGTTTTTTCCTGTTCAACCACTTCCTTTCTTATCCTGGATGCATGATGTTGTCTGTGCAGAACCTTTTCAGTTTCAACTGATCAAAGTTTTCTATTTTATTTTTCTAGTTGCCTCTATCTCTTCTTTGGCTACAGAGGCAGCTAGGGGACACAGTGGACAGAGCACTGGGTTTGGAATCAGGAGGACTAATCTTCATGAATTTAAACCTGGCCTCACTAGCTGTGTGACCCTAAGCAAGTCACTTCACTTTGCCTCAGTTCTTCATCTGTAGAATGCATTAGGGAAGGAAATACCAGACTATTCCAGTATCTTTGCCAAGAAAAGACCAAACTGGATCAAGGACCCCTTGGAGTCAGACAGGCTTGAAACAGCCACAACAGCTTATTTGGCTAAGAGGACATCTCCTGCCCCCAGCGATAAGAACCATTTGATCTTTTTCTCTTCTAATGTTTTTCGTAGTAAAAGGTCATGTATCCTTATAGAATGTATTGTAGAGTGTGGTGTAAAATGATCAGCTGAGCCTAATTTGCTTCCTGACACCTTTCCAGTTTTCTCAGCACTTTTTACCACATTGGTAGTTTTGGTTGGTTTTTTTTTTTTAGGCAGTTGGGGTTAAGTGACTTGCCCAGGGTCACACAGCTAGAAGGTGTCAAGTGTTTGGTCTGAGGCCAGATTTGAACTCAGGTCCTCCTGACTTCAGGGCTGGTACTCTATCCACTGCATTACCTAGCTGCCCCCACATTGGTAGTTTTACCCAACTTAGCTTGTTTTCCTCTTTATCAAACCCTGAGTTGTTGAGTTCTATTGTTTCTGAATCTCCTTTGTTTAATCTGTTCCATTAATACCCCACCCCTGTGACATCATTGGTCCTCTCTGAAAATGCAGGAAGAACCACAGAGGGCAGCCCTATTGTCCCAATCCCTCATGCCCCTCACCTAGGGATCATCACTGACTCCTCACTATCTCTTACCACCCCTTCCCCCAGATCCACTATGGTGCCAAGGCCTGTCAATCTCACCTTTGCAACATCTCTCAACTACGCCCCCTTCTCTCCTCTAACACTGCCACCCCGCTACCTTATCACCTCACACCTGAGCTATTAAGATAGTCTGCTGATGCATCTGCCTCCTTCGAAGCTCTCCCCATGCCAAGCCATTCTCCATTCAGCCACTAGAGTGATTTTCCTCCAGTGCAGTTCTGAACATGTCACTCCCCTACTCAGTAAACTCCAGGGGCTTCCTGTTGCCTCCAGGAGCCTATGCGAAAGGCTGTGTTTGGCATTCAAAGCCCTTCATAACTCAGCCCCCTCCTACCTTTTCAGGCTTCTTAAACCTTACTCCCCAACACCTATTCTTTGGTCCACTGACCCTGGCCTCCTGGCCTCTCTCAGCTCCAGGCATTTTCAGTGGCTGTCCCCCATGTCTGGAACACTCTTCCTCCCCAGTTCAGACTCCTGACTCCTAGCCCCCTTCAAGTGCCAGCTGAAAACTAAAACCCTTCCCTGACCCCTCTTGATTCTGGTGCCTTCCCTCCTTTAATTACTTCCTACTTATCCTGTCCATAGCTTGCTTTATCTTTTCCTGTTTGCATATTGTCTTCCCCATTAGACTGTAAGCTCCTCAAGGGCAGGGACCGTCTTTTGCCTCTTGTATCCCCAGTGCTTGGCACAGTATCTGGCACATAGTAGGTGGTTCCTGTATATACAATTGAATTGACAATTTCTACCCCTTGACATGACCTTGGCACATCACTCTCTCCTAGCCCCCGTGTTTTCTCCCCCTTTTAGGTGACCTTCCCACACTGGAAGGTAGTCCCACACAGCAAGCATTCACCGATAGGCAGCCCCTCTCCTCCTCTTCACTGTTACCTCCACCAGATTTCCTCCTTCATCCCTATCTCTTTGTGGACTTTTGCAAAGAAGTCTCTTCCTGGTCTTTCTGTTGCTATTCTGTTGCTGCTGTTGTCTGCATTTATTCACTGCTCCTGCATTTCTCTTGTCTGAGGTGTTCAAGAAGCAAATAATCTCTTCAGTTCTGGTTTTCTTTCTGAAAATATTTCATACTGCTCTTTATTATTGAACGTTTACATTTTGTCCCATATTGTTAAGTTCATATTTGCAGGTGTGGAGAGTGAAATTTAACAAAAGGGTAAACTGAGGCAAGTCTCCATGCAAAATACCATTTATTAGCAGGGTCAGGCTGCCTGTCAATAAATGGGCCAGTGGATTGCCACCATTTATGCCACAGATCCTGTGCAAAAGGATAGTGCCCTTTTTATAGGTTTTGTGGAGCAAGAAACAGACAGGTTAGGTGACATCATAGGGTTTGGGGCAGCATGATTGGTTACAGAGGTGAGGCATGGGAAACAAAATGATTAGTTTGGTAATGAGAGGCCACCAATGACTCCTCCTCTCCTGAGTCTAAGAAGTGATCATCATTTGAGTCCAGGTACGAGGTCGTGGCCCAGACTTTTAGACAGCAAACTAGACATGCTTGAAGGATGGCTTGGTGGTGTAAAGATACTAAATTCATCTTCATTGTGTTCACGTGCATCCCCCAAGAAGAGATAATTGCTTGGGGCAAGAGTAGAATAGTGATTAGCAAGAGGGCTGGATTTTCACACTTAACCCATTCCAGACCAACAGAATTCTGAACCAAGTTCAGAGACAGAGAACCATGACTTAGGCAGATAAAAGACAAAAGCAGTTAATTGTAAATAGGGTCAAGAAATAAATGATAGAGGGTTGATGCAGTCTTCCCACAGGATAGGTCACCCTGGGCTGCATCCTGAGCTCACTCCTCTCTGGAACATATTCTTCCATTCCCTCCTCATTTCTAATGGGTTTGTAACAGTCTTGCATTATTAGAATGTTCTTTCCATTCTATTTAAAAGTCTTTCTCCTGATGGCTTGTAGGAAGTTTTTTTTCTGAGTCAAATTTAAATTAAACCACTATCTGTCTTGGAGTTTGCAGCCTTGAGTTTTTTTCTGGAGGTGATTTGTGAATTCTTTCCATTGGAATTTCATTTTCTGTGTTCAGATGTTCAGGGAATCAATGAGAGAGCAGATATCCTTCAGTGAAAGGACTGCCTTTCTTTAGTGAGAACCCACACTATGAATAACTGTGTGGTGAAGAAGAGTGACTCCAGAGAGCCTAGAGGAAAGGAAGCTTTAGAAATTCTTGGGAATTTCAAGAAGTATAAATGAGCAATAAATCCCTCAATTATTCAGAAGTAGAATAATAGACTAGAGGAAGCAAAAAGTGCAATAGATTACAAATAGACCCTAAATCAGATGTCCCAAAGAAGATATCATAATAATGAAAAATGAAATGGCAATTTTATGCACAGGATGGAGAATGGTTCCCAAATATCTGAATCTCTGATAAAGTGAATCACATCCTTATGTTGAAAATGGAAGAAAATGAAATGGAAGTCCATCAGATTCCCAGCACGTTGGCCAAACATATGTTGTGCGTATAGCTGGCTGGAAATATAGAAGACTTCTTCCAAGTGTCACAGTATTCTCATATCTGGCCAATTTCTCCTGGACATGGACCATCAGTCATCCTATTAACTCATTCTCTTGATTCTTCTCCCAAGTTTCTACAGTTCTAGTGTATGTTTGGCAACTTTTTCCTCATGAATTAGAGCAAAAAAACCCAAGGTAATTAAACATGGCTTTTTTATTAATGAAAGAACCCGCCTTCCTTCATCATACTTACTCTTATTGCTATGTAATGAAATATTTTAATTACGGAATATATACCATAGACAAATGAAAGCAACCATAAAAAGGCTGAAGCTGTTTTGTCCATGACATGTCCTCCCCAAAGTGATCTCAAGCTGTCATTGTAACAACAGATAATTCTTCTTCACTTGGCTAGAGACCATTTCGTACCACTCAGTGTAGTCTAGATTCTTATGAATATCTCTTTAGAATCCGCTTCATGTTTTCATCCAGATTAGACCTTATTCCAGATTTTCAGGAACAAAATAGATCTTTAACTTTGTTCCATTTTAAGTGATCGCATATAACTTTTTCCCCTGGAGTGCATTGTCCTTGCCAGCTTCTCACAAACTCTTCACAGAATTTTCTTTAGAACTTAACACTTATATCAGTTCTGATAAGAAAGGAATTTCACATCACCCTCTCCTTTTCTCCTTCACAGATCTACCTAGCTCACAGATAGAATGTATACTTTCTCTTTAATTCTATGGGGAGATGCATTTTATAGTAAAGCATTTCTCAGCTTTTTTCAGACTCATCATTGGGCTTTTAATGACTGTGGGTTTCAGGTATTGACTCTGGAACTAATAAAGGGCATGACCTTTGGGCAAATCCTTTCTCTGGGCTTCCATTTCCTCCTGTAAAGTGATGAGAGTTGGATTATTTAATTATGAAATATCTTTCAGCTTTACATCTTATATCTTTTGATGGTTTAGGAGTTGGTGACATTCAAGGATGTGGCTGTGGACTTCACCCAGGAAGAGTGGGGCCTTATGGACCATCCTCAGAAGGAGTTGTACAAGGAGGTCATGCTGGAGAATGCCTGGAACCTTCTCTCTCTGGGTAAGGACACTTCCCCTGGCCACTCTGAGTCTGCAATCCAAGGGAATATCTTCATTCCTGAGTGTGCAATTAGAAAGAAAAAAGTGCTGCTTTTCTGTGTCTTCTGTCTGGTTTTCCTATAAAAAGTCTTTGCATTGTGTGATAGGAACCTGAGGGTTTTCTTTGTTGCTCCTAAAGCTGTCTCTTACCAATTCTAGGCAACTTCAGATCAAAGATCAAATCAGTGTGGAAGCATCTCTGATGAAGATGATAATCTCACAGGTTATTTAGTCTAACCCAGGCCTGCACTAGCTGTGGCCCTCACTTATGGCCCTCGCTGTGTGAGGCATGCCGAAGGAGTTCAGGCAGCCCTCAAAAAATGTAGAGGAAAACATCCTTTGTATGTAGAGGAAATTCTTTGGCAAGCTGCAAACAGCCCATGGGCTGTAAGCAGCCCCAAGGTTGTGCGGGCCTGGTCTAACCTCTGCCTGAGGTTCCATGATCTTCTCCCCGCCCCAAAGCTTCCAAAAATAAATCCTGTGGAAACTATCCTTGAAGAGTCCTGGCAACCACCCTGGCATCCTTGCTGGCATGCCCCTGTGGATGCCAGGAATAACAGACTGGCTGAGAAACAGAATTTGGAAGAACTAGGGTTTGTTGAGTTCGCAGCAGGAGACTCTCCCCCAGAGATGCGAACACTCCCTGAATGAACAGTACACAAGGTTTATCTAGGATTCAGGGAGAGAGGACCCAGTATAGGGGGAGAGGGCAAAGGATGATTCATCAAGTTCGCTGGAGCTGGGGCTTGAGGCTGATCTGGCACAATTACCCTTTCACCCAGTTTGAGGGTTAGGAGCATAACAGGATGGGGGAGAGAGGGTTTGGCTGTTTCTCAGAACAAGTTGTACAACACATCCTGTTTTAGGTTATTTGAATCACAGGTACTAATGGGTCAGTACAGATGCCTATGTGTGACCAGAATGGAGTGATTCTCCAAATGGAGCAGCTCTGTGTCCACACTCCTTTCCCTAAAAAGAACTAAATTACTAGTTTTTCTCCATGCTCATTCCTAACTGATTTCCATGCCCAGGACTTCCAGTTCCCAGAGAAGATGTGATCTCTAATTTTGAGCGAAGGGAAGCAGCATGGATGTTGGAGCAAGAAGGCCTGAGGAACTGCTGTCCAGGTGAGTGAGGTAAAAGCAGGTCTATGAGAGCTGTGATTACAAGAGGCTGCTATGTGTTGCAGTGAAGCAAGTGTTAGACGTGGGGCAAGGATACCTGCCTCAGAATTCATTTTCAGACACTATTTAGCAGTGGATTCCTGGGCAAGTCACTGAACCACTGAGCCTCAATTTCTCCATCTGTAAAATGAGGGGTTTGGATTCTACAGCCTTTCAGCTCCCTTCCAGGGTTAGGGTTAATTGATCAATCTGTGATCCTTTAAGAAGTCATTGTTTGGAATTTGGGGGCGTGGAATCTCCTGAAAGTGCAAAAAAAAAAAAAGATCAAGCTACGTAATGTGGGCCCTTTCTTAGACTTTCTTCAAGTTCATAACCATTTGGAGCTCACAGTCTAATGGGGCAGACGTACCAACAATGTAGAACCCTGTTATGGACAGGACAAATTGGAGCTCATTGAGAAGGTAGGAACTACAGTGAAGGAGGACTGGAAAGGCTTATTGTGGAAGGGGGGCTCCAGCTGGGGCTTCAGGGTAGCCAAGGTGAGCATTCTAGGCACAAGATTGTTGAGGACAGTCTATGGAGTCAGGACGTGGAGTGTCCTGTTCACAGAACAGAATGGGTGCCCTTAGCATATATCAGGGGAAATCAGGTGAAAGAAGACTGGAAGAGTAGGAGGGGGGAGGTGACGAAGTGCTCTAGCAGCCCCAGGGAGGATTTTATATTGGATCCTTTCACTGGGGAGTCAGAGAAGGTTGTTGAGTGGGTGGTGCCATGGTCAGGTGAGACCTTTAGGAAGATGAGCTTGATGACTGGCTGAAGGATAGACTGGACTGGAAGGAGATGAGGTAGCTGAACCAGCCAGCAGGCTCTTGAAATACCTCAGCTATGAGGCGACTGGGGCCTGAACCAAGACAGTGGTGGTGTTGGCAGAGATGTCACACAGGTGGAATCGTGGGACTTTGGAGCAGACTGAACATGGGGGTAGGGAGGGTGGATATGCAAGAGCCAATGAGGATGCATGACTGTAAGGTGCTAATCCCCTGACTGGGGAACCCTATACCACCCCCATAACTGTGGGGTGTCTTGATACCAAAAAAAGAGGCCACAGAGCTGCAGACTGATTCTAGATAGCAGTTTAATCAATCATTATGAATACTTACAAAGGAGGGACAATCTTCAATCTGGGGAGGCAGCCAGAGAGATCAGTGGAGCCCTGCAAAGACCCACAAAAATCCCTGTGTAATCATAGAAATCAGACAAGGGGAGAAGGAGCCATAGGGTGCTTCACTACTGATTGGTGGATGTTTTTTGTTTTCTGCTTAGTAATGAGTTTGGGCATTAAGCCAATGTTATGCCCAAACATAGGTTAGTGTATTGATCATGTAACGGTCACATATGGGTCATAGTATTCTTGGCTTTCATGGGTCATAATATCTAAGTTATGACTCATTGCCTAAGCTATGATTTGGCATCTAAATTATGATTTTTACCAGGTTACTATGTCCGGGCTTCCACCTTTCACAGATTTTAAGTTTTATGACTTTTCACTTATTACTATATTTTATGGCTTTTCTCCAATCAGGACCCCACAATGACACTTCCTTTGTGAGCCTGAACTATTGGGAGGATGCTTTAGATAGCATTAGGCAGGTAAGAAAAAATGAGGGTTGGGGAAAGGAGAATGAGTTTAATTTTGGATAAGGTAGAGGGAAAACCAGGGGACAGTAGTGTCACTAGAGAGGAGAATATCAAGAAAAGGGTGATTGATGGTGTCAAGAAGGATGAGGATTAAGAAATGGCTATCAAATTTAGCAGTTTTGAGATTATTGTAACTTCACAGATAGAAATTTCAGCTGAAAATGAAATTGGAGGAAAAAAGAAAGTGAAGTTGGGAGCTAGCTAGACTGCAGAGAATTTCAAAGAAAGCAAGTGAAAGGGGTTCGAGACACCAGTTGTAAATGGCCATCTCTAGCTGTTTAGCCATGAAATAGAGAAAAGATATTAGATAATATCTCATGGGGCTGCATGGATCAAATGAAGGGCTTTGTGATAATTGGAAAGGAGTCATTAGTATGGGAGAAATTGAAAATTAGTGAAAATATGGAGATACTAGAGGAAGAATATACCAAGATAGATGAGGGATGAAATGGGATTGTTTGTGCAGATAAAGGAGTTTGCTTTAGCGAGCAGAAGGATGACCGTTTCATCTGCTACTGGGGCCAAGAAGGAAATGAAGGCATCTGATTTATGTGAGATTAAGAGGATCAGATAAATACCCAGTTTTTTTCAGTGAAATAAGAGGCAAGATTCTCATGATAGAAGGTGAGGGAGGGGTGGAAGCAAGATATAAGAGAAGGTTGGAGATGAATGAAAAGATTTGGAAGAGCTGTGGTGGTGAGTGGCCTGGGAAATCAGTTAGGGAGATGTCAAAGGATGGCCTTGCCACAGTGGGGGCCCAGCTGAGGTTATGTACCTACATTTGTGGTGGACCCAGGCAGCTGGTTTCATGATTTTGTCTCTCTCCATTCACCAGCACATGAGAAGGAGTGAAGGTTGCTGCCTTACTTAGAAGTAATCCAAGGCTAAGCTTTGCATAAATCATCAGTTTGAGTCCCTTTCCTGATCTCTGTTGCTCAATCTCTGTCCCATTCTTAGAGAATAATTGACCAGATTCATGTAGGCGACTTACCACCTCAGTTTAGGGAGCTGGGAGATAGACTCCCAGGTGTCCCATAGCATGAGACCCTTCAGGAGCCAGAAAGAAGCCTCTGTGATCTTCGGTATTGGATCTAGGTGACTATTTGGAGGTGATTGGGTGCAAGAAAGAGACAGAAACAGGGCTGAGGCCCAAAGATGCATTTGGCAACTAGGAGAGAGATCAGAATGCAAGGATTGAGGCAGAGGCTGGGACCTGGTATCAGCCTTGGGCCCAGTCAGTCAAGAAGCATGGATTAAGCATTCTCTATGTTCTAACTGCTGTGCTAGGCCCCAAGCATATAAAGTAAGACAAAAGTCATTCCTTGCTGTCATGGAGCTCCCAATCATGTAGACAAAAATGGAGATAGTTTGAGAAAAAGCAATAGATTGTGAACATCACTCTTAGCTAATCTATGGAAAAGAGAGTGTTTTGGAATGGAAATACATTTAGTTCAACAAGGAAATATGGGAATATGCAGAGTGAGAATAAGAAGGAGAGCAGAATTGGGTAGGAAATAGTCAAAATCAAAATAATGATGATAAGAATAATAGTTAGCATTTACATAGCACCTAGTATGTGTCACATACTTTATAAATATGATCTCATTAGATACTGATACTCTAGGAGCTAGGTGCTATTATTATGCCTATTTTACAGATGATGAAACTGAAGCAAACAGAGGTCTTGGGACTTGCCCAGGGTCACAGCATGAAGCAAGATTCTGGAATGAGATTGGAACTCAGGTCTTCCTGACTCAAGGACCGGTGTTCTATCCACTGTACCACCAGCTATATTCTGATTTTTAGACGTAAGCAGAGGATAAGTTCAAATTAGAAAATAACCTCAGGGGCAATTTAAGGTCTTTTTTTTTTTTTTGTAGAACAGTTGTGGTGGTCCATGATGGTTTTATAATGACCTTTACTGTGCATGTCTAGTGACCACAGTTCTCAGAGAGACTGCCATCTCTGCTGCAAGAATGCAAACCCAAGGGACACCTTGATCTGGGGATTATAGCTTTAATGAGATGTCATAACAAGGTAACCCACAAATAAGAGGATTACTCTGGTGCAGTGACAGACAGCCAGTGAAGGTCTGTGCATGCCTGTGACCATTTGCACATGAATGTCCAACCTTCCTGGAAGTTTGGAAACAATTTGACTTCAAGTTGAGAAACATCAGAAGCAGTCAAGAGTTAAATGTTATTACTGCACGATCCCCAAAACATTGTATGACTGATCATGATACTTTGGAATCACTGCGGAAAGAAAACTTATGGTGGAATCATGCACGTGTTTGTTGTCCCAGAGGAAAAAGATTTCTGTAACTAAATCGGGCCGTTACTTCCTGCTTATGACGACACTGGATTTTTAGCTCAAATACTTTAGACCATTGTCTTAAACCTCTAAGAGGTCTGTGAACCACTAAATGGGAAGGGCTATGAGAGGACTAAAAGTGAAGCAGGCTGTTCACTTCTTGACAAAAGGAGGATGGATCCAGATTCCTATTTTCAGAAATGGGAAATGTTATACATTTTTTAAAAATTGTGCTTATTATGAGGAACAGAGGCATTTAAAGATAATTTTTTAAAGAGAAACAAGTAATGACTATGCCAAAAAAGTAGTGGGCCAGAGCAACCTCTCTTATGCCTCAGGTAAGTGCAAAAAACAGTGCTAGCATTCTTCATGTGATCTCAGATACTGCAACCGAAAAATAAGATGGAAAGCAATCACCAGAGAAATTATATCATGCTTACAGAGATGATAGATCATGCAATAATGTCTGATCTGTTGCACAAAATAGCATAATATCTATCAAGAAAGGACTGATAATGCAGACCATGAAAGTGACAGTGAAAACAAAAGATTGAAAGTGGAGACAATCTGTCTAGTAGCATGCCCAGTCACAAAGTTTGAGTTCCAGTCTCAGCTGACGAGATTTCGGTCCAGTCATTCAGCTATTCTGAGCTCGTGGTCTGAGTGAATGTAATGGGAATGCCAGGCCTGCCTGTATCACACATTTGTCATGAGGATCCAGTGTGATTGTGTAGGAAGTTCTTTGTAAATTAAATCATCCTTTGGATGTGAGCTAATTGCATTTTCAAATAACTGAACCTGCCCATTTAAGATTGAAGACTTGGGGAAGCTAGGTGGTACAGTGGATAGAGCACTGACCCTGAAGTCAGGAGGATCTGAGTTCAAATCTGGCCTCAGATGCAAAACACTCACTAGCTGTGTGACCCTGGGCAAGTCACTTAACCTCATTGCCTACCCACAAAAAAAAAAAATTATCTATAAGATTGAAGACTTTTCTCTTTGCCTGGGGAAATGGAAGGTAAATCAGTTTACCTTTGCCAATGGAGGGAAGGGGATATAATTATATAGGTGTGAATGTGTCTGTGTATATATGTTTTATTGTTTGTGTCTTTCAGAAAGAGAGATCAGACTTGAAATGAAAGAGACTACTGCAGAGCTAAGCCTTTCTGTAGAAGAAACTCAAAAGCAAAGATTCCTAAGTGAGGATCCCTCTGACTTCACTGGGAAACAAATTTGTGCTGTACTTCACAGAATCCACACAGGAGAGAAACCTTATGAATGTCATCATCATGGTAAAACTTTCAGTCAAGAGTTATCTCTTATTTACCATCAAAAAATTAAAACTGGAGGGAAACCACACAGGTGTCGTAAGTGTGACAAAGCTTTTAGGGAGTACTCATTGCTTATTAAACATCAGATGATTCACACTGGAGAGAAACCTTATGAATGTAATCAGTGTGGAAAAACTTTCAGTTCTAGGATGTATATTGCTCTACATCAAAGAATCCACACTGGAGAGAAACCTTATGAATGTAATCAATGTGGAAAGGCTTTTACACAGAAGACCTATCTTATTAGACATCAGAGAATCCACACTGGAGAGAAACCTTATGAATGTAATCAATGTAGAAAAGCTTTTCCATGGAGGTCCAATCTTATTGTACATCAGAGGGAAACTTATGAATGTAATCAATGTGGAAAGTCTTTCAAATGTAGAAAGAGTTTTGCTGAACATCAGAGCATCCACACTGGAGAGAAGCCTTATGAATGTAAACAATGTGGAAAGGCTTTTCCATGGAGGTCCAGTCTTATTGTACATCAGAGGAAAACATATGAATGTAATCAATGTGGAAAAACTTTCAAATGTAGAAAGAGCATTGCTGAACATCAAAGCATCCACACTGGAAAGAAACCTTATGAATGTAATCGGTGTGGAAAGGTTTTTACCCAAAAGACCAGTCTTACTGTACATCAGAGAATCCACACTGGAGAGAAACCTTATGAATGTAATCAATGTGGAAGAACATTCATTTCTAAGAAGTATATTGCTCAACATCAGAGAACCCACACTGGAGAGAAACCTTATGAATGCAATCAGTGTGGAAAAAGTTTCAGTTCAAGGACGTATATTGCTCTACATCAAAGAATCCATACTGGAGAAAAACCGTATGAATGTAAGCAATGTGGCAAGGCTTTTCCACAGAAGACCAGTCTGACTGTTCATCAGAGAATCCACAGTGGAGAGAAACCTCATGAATGTAATCAGTGTGGAAAGGCTTTTCCACAGAAGACCAGTCTTACCATACATCAGAGACACCAGCACTCCTTATGAATGTAATCAATGTAAAAAAAATGAAAAACTCTATGACAAGAAACTTGGTGTACATCAGAGAATCCAAACTGGAGAGATACCTTATGAATGTAATTAATGCAGAAAAACTTTCAGTTCTACGAAGTATATTGCTAAATGTCAGAAAATACACACTGGAGAGAAAACTTATGAATATAAGCAATATGGTAAAGCCTTCAGGTGAAAGTCAGTCCATATTTCCCATCAGAAAATTCACAGGAGATAGGAATCTTATCACTGACATGAATGAGGAGAGGCATTGAAATGGATTACAGAGCTTCTTAGACAGCAGAAAATTCACTCTGGGTATAAGCCATCTATGGACTCAATGTGCGAAGACTTTCAGCCAGAGATCATCTCTTACTTTTTATCAGAGGATTCATACTGGAAAGAAACCTTATGGATATGCTCCATGGTGACATATCTTTGTCTGGAAGATGGAGGTCACTGGTGAAGGGTTATGTGTTATATATGATTGTAACAGAATGGTGAAATGAGGAAAATAATTTGTTCTGACCCATCAGGTTGAAAAACAGCAAAAGAAGGCAATACAGTTGTTCATAAACTGCAAGATTGCAGGAAAGGAGACATCTGGATGACCTCAAAAACAGAATGTCTTCAGAATAAAGAACAAGGCTTTTATCAACATTATGTCAACTGGGAAATAATGTTTGGTGAAGGGAAGGAATCGGAGTTGTTTGATCAAAGATATAAAAATTGGGGCAATTTAGGGGAATTTTGTGGTTTCCTGTAGGCCACCTACATGTATATATTCAGCCTACATTCAGGCTACTGCACATGATGATCAAGAAATTTCTCATTGACTTGAGATAATTTCTGCCTCCTTATTTTTGTGACCCAACAATCATGGTGGCAAGGGATTCCACTAATGGACTTGAGGCAGAGCAGAACATCGTGCACCAAAGCAACCACTACTAAGCAGTAAGAGGCCCTGCAGTTTCAATCTAAAAAGCTTCCCATGGTTGCTCCTGCTCTGCCAGCCTGGAAGGGGAATCTAAAGGAGCTAAATTCCATGTAAGAGTCATCTGGGCTGCTTGTTACATGCACTCAGAGGTTCTGGACAGTCAAAGGGGCCTTTATGGAATCCTCTAGAGGAAATGGTTTTGTGTCTTGATAAATCCAAGCTTACCTTTTCCTTTGGCCTAATGAACCAAAGGGAAAGGGATGTAAAGAGAATGAAACTTTTCTGCGGAACTTTCAAAATGCTCAAAAAGATGTAGTCTCTCCCTTTGTTTTTTTTTCTTTTTTTTAATATAAATTTATTTATTTTTAGTTTTCAACATTCCCTTCCACAAGTTTTTGAGTTCCAAATTTTCACTCCATCTCCCCCTCCCCCCCCAAGATGTCATGCATTCTGAATATCCCTTCCCCTACTCTGTCCTCTCTTCTATCTCTCCCCTTCTCTTATCCCCTTCCCCTTCTATTTTCCTGCAGGGCAGGATTGACTTCTGTACCCCATTTCCTATATTTATTTCCCAGTAGCATGTGAAAACATTTTTTAAAAATATGTTTTTAAAACTGTAGGTTTCAAATTTTCTCTCTTCCTCCCTCCCCACCCACCCTCCTTGAAAAGGCAAGCAACTCAATATAAGTTGTACATGCGCAGTTATGCAAAACACGTCCATAGTAGACATGTTGTGAAAAACTAACTCTATTTCCCTTAATCCTATCCTGCCCTCCCATTTATTCTATTCTTTCTTTTGACCCTGTCTCTCCTCAGAAGTATTTACTTCTGATTAACCCCTTTCCCAATCTGCCCTCCTCTCTATCATCCCCCTGCTCTCTTGTCCCCTTTCCCCCCTATTTTCCTGTAGGGTAAGACAGATTTCCATACCCAATTGAATGTGTATGTTATTCCCTCCTTAAGCCAAATCCTATGAGAATAAGATTCACTCATTCCCTCTCACCTTCCCCTGTTTCCCCTTCCACTGTAAGAGACTTTTCTGTTTTTTTTTGTGAGATAATTTACCCCATTCTACCTCTCCCTTTCTTCTTCTCCGAGTATAATCCTCTCTCATCCCTTAATTTTATTCTCCAGATATGACCCCTTAATCTTCAGCTCACCCTGTGCCCTCTATCTATCTATCTACATATACATACATATAATTTTTTTCCTCCAACTACCCTGATACTGACAAAGGTCTCATGAGTTATAAATATCATCTTTCCATGCAGGAATGTAAACAGTTCAATCTTAATAAGTCTCTTATGATTTCTCTTTCCTGTTTACCTCTTCATGTTCCACTTGAGTCCTGTATTTGAAAGTCAAATTTTCTATTCAGCTCTGGTCTTTTCATCAAGAATGCTTGAAAGTCCTCTATTTCACTGAATGACCATTTTTTCCCCTGAAGGATTATACTCAGTTTTGCTGGGTAGGTGATTCTTGGTTGTAATCCTATCTCCTTTGCCCTCCGGAATATTATATTCCATGCCCTGCGGTCCTTTAATGTAGAAGCTGCTAAATCTTGTGTTATCCTGATTGTGTTTCCACAGTACTTGAACTGTTTCCTTCTGGCAGCTTGTAATATTTTCTCCTTGACCTGGGAACTCTGGAATTTGGCTACAATATTCCTAGGAGTTTTCCTTTGGGGATCTCTTTCAGGAGGAGATCTGTGGATTCTTTCAATTTCTATTTTGCCCTCTGGTTCTACTATATCAGGGCAGTTTTCCTTGATAATTTCTTGAAAGATGATGTCTAGGCTCTTTTTTTGATCATGGCTTTCAGATAGTCCAATAATTTTTAAATTCTCTCTCCTGGATCTATTTTCCAGGTCAGTTGTTTTTCCAATGAGATATTTCACATTGTTTTCTAATTTTTCATTCTTTTGGATTTGTTCTACTGTGTCGTGATTTCTCATAAAGTCACTATCTTCCAATTGCTCTATTCTAATTTTTAAGGAAGTATTTTCTTCAGTAAGCTTTTGGACTTCCTTTTCCATCTGGCCAATTTTGCTTTTTAGGGCATTTTTCTCCTCATTGGCTTTTTGGACCTCTTTTGCCATTTGGGTTAGGCTATTTTTTAAGGTGTTATTTTCTTCAGTATTTTTTTGGGTCTCCTTTAGCATCACTCTCAGTTTTTCCTCTACTTCTCTAACTTGCTTCTCAAAATCGTTTTTGAGCTCTTCCATGGCCTGGGACCAATTCATATTTTTCTTGGAGGCTTTGGATGTAGGGGCTTTGACTTTGTTGTCTTCTTCTGGTTGTATATTTTGGTCTTCTTTTTCACCAAAGTAAGATAATATAGTCTGACTCTTTTTGCCTGCTTGCTCATGATCCCGGCCAATTACTTGAGTTTTAAACTCTTTGTTAAGGTACGAATCTGCTTCCAATGTGGAGAATGTACTGTCCCAAGCTTCGGGGGTTTGTACAGCTGTTTTCAGAGATACTTGTAGGGACCTGTAAATTTTCAGTTCTTCCAAGGTGGTATGATAAGGGGCAAGGTGTTTACTCCTTTCCTGGCCTGCACTACAAGTACTCCTTTCTGTCCTGTAACTGTGAGAGGGGCTCTCTCACAACCACTACAAGCTCCACGAAGCCAGTGCTCCTCCTCACCCCAGCACCGCTGCCCAGAACTGTGGCCCAGATCCAAACATGGGCAAAGCAAGAGATTCCTGCCTGAGCACTGGCAAAGAGATCCCTGCAATCCCTCTCTGATCAGCCACTGGATTCCCCCTCAGTCTGTAGGCCAGAAGCTCGGGAAGCAGCTGCCCCCCCACAGGGCCACGCTCTTGGGGAATGGAGCTGAAACCCCACCTTCCTTTCTCAGGCACCGACAGAAACAGACTTTTCCCACTGACCTTCTATTTGTCTTTGGCATTGGTGGATTGAGGAGTCTGGAAACCTCCACAGCTGCCTGAGATTCAGTCCTCTGAGGCCTGCTCCAGGTTTGCTGCGGCCTGTGCACCCACGCTGCACTGCACTGCGCTCCCAGCCAGGCACATTTACACCTTTCTGATCAATCATCCAGGTTGTCTTGGGCTGGAAATTTGTTTCACTCTGTCTTTTTGTGGGTTCTGCTGCTTCATAATTTGTTTAGAGCCATTTTTTATGAGTATTTGGAGGGGTTTGGAGGAGAGCTCAAGCAAGTTACTGCTTTCACTGTGCCAACTCCGCCTCCTCCCTCTGTTTTTCTAAGTCTGGCCAAGTTGAGTAGGGAGACAAGAGACATATAAGAAGAAAGGAAATCTTTTTCCTAGTCTGCAGAAGTGTGTAGCATTGTAAAGTAACTAATGACTGAATTTGTCATTTCAGTAAGGAAGGTGGTGTCAAGATGTCAGAGACTTCATGTCCTGCTGTTTTCATAGCTCAGTCTGGGGACTTGCACACTATCACTGCTTCCAAAGTGGTGTGATGCAAGAGGAGGTGCAATGTGCAAGTCTCAGACCCAAATTTGGTTCTCTTGGATAATGTATGGTAGAGTTTCAGTAGATTGCAGTTGGACTATGTGACTTGCATATTGTTGGGAAATCCAGCATGCATCTGAAGGAATATGTGCATGTAATGACTTGTGTACAGTTATGATACTATATGGCTACATGACAATATTGTGTCATCAAAATTTCAATGCAAGAAAAAGCCCACAAATTTACAATGAATTATTAAATTTAAAATGCATCATTTTAAAAAATATATTTTATATTTTTTGAAATGACAGAAAGTTCTAAAAAAACTTTTTATTAAAGGGTTAGAGAAAATAGATTTCCAGGGAGGTGCTGAGTAATTTTTTTAAAAAGGGGATGATAGGCTAAATACATTTGGGAACCTCTGGGCTAAAGGAATATACTGAATAGAGATATTCCTTGTGCAGTGGACCACAGCACACCAGGACCTTCTATTCTCCACTATCTCCCAAAGTCTGTCCAAGCTCATGTTCTTTGCTTCCATGACACTATCTATCCACCTTATCCTCTACTGTCTCCTTTTCCTTTTGCTTTCAATTTTCCCCAATATCAGGGGCTTTTCAAATGAATCTTACCTTGTCATGTGGCCAAAGTGTTTCAGCTTCAGCTTCAGTAGTTCACCTTCCAGTGAATAGTATGGATTAATTTTAAGTATTGATTGATTTGATCTCCTTGCTATCCAAGGGACTCTCAAAAGGCTTTTCTAGCACCACAATTTGAAAGTGTCAATTCTATAGTACTCAGCTTTCCTTATAATCCAGATCACACAACCATGCATTGCTGCTGAAAAGACCATAGATTTGATTAAGAGATCAGGCTCAAAAGCAAAGTTTTATAATACAGTGAGGAAATTGATTTATTGAAGACCCCTGTTCTGTTCCAATCAGTATCAATTTGATACGATTATACATTCTGGCCCCAGAGCTGTGATCACTTGCGTAATCATGGGAAGCTGGGTGGAGGCCCTCCACCTTTGTTATTCCTTGAGGCAATCAAGCCTAGTATGGCAGAGGTGACTCAACTACATGGAAAATCCCCCAAAATTATTTTTGTACCACCAGACCATTCTCTCTCATCCAACATGATCAGGTGCCCATCTTGTGACCACCCAGTCAGTGGAGATATTTCCTGCTTTGCCCAACTTGTGACTCTTTTGATATATTGTTTTGCTTATTTTAGCCTATGCATCATGTCAACCAATGAAATTATTCTGTTTTTGAATGTTTA